AAGCAAATTAAGGAGAAAAAATGGTGGAAGATGCAGTTAACCACCTGCAAAGACACCTTGCCTTCAACCTGAAGTGAAGTATAGCCACCATTCATAACATTCAACGCAGAGTACATGTGGCACTGGGAAGTGGCACAGTTGGTTGTAATAATAAGGCTATGAATTCCTATATAATGCACTTTACCGCTGATTTAATTCAAACGAACGTTGTTAATGTGCCTTGGTAAAAAAGTGCTAGTCCTTTGAAGCTCAGCTTGAGGCTTGAACGCTAGCGTCGATGCACTGGAATAAAGAGCTGCAATAGTAGTTGCATGGCAAATTGCTGTGCGACCCAATGTGTGCAGCAAAGAGATTCACCGATTGAGAGTACTCAACCGCTGATGGGCAACTGGTGTGCAGATAACTGCTGCCTTAGCATCAGGAGGAGATTCGGAGTCAAACTGACATTCCCTAATTTATAATTTAGGGCAGCACACTACAACTCCTCTTTTGAGATAAAAAAGACACGGCTGGGAGTCAAAAGCCCAATGTCCAAAATTTCAAACTCATCTTAGCTTTCATTGGTGCAGTAAGGAGTACAGCTAGAAAGGCCTTCTCAGCCACCTCAAGATGCCTTTCGGGTGCAATTTTAGTGTTGATCGGGCCTTCACACTTGGATCCCCCATCCACAGCAGGCAACCACCCTGTGATAGTGGGCTCACCCCTGTCCCCCTACATACGTGCCCATGACCGTCGTTAAAGGCACTAGTAGACGTCGAGACGCACAGATTAGGATTTGGGCATTCAGATTCCAAAATGCATTGTTTATCAGTACCATCCTTCAGACACTGCCGCCTCTGTTGTCCGTCTCTCTGTTGCCGGATTGTGAGCTAGCCCAGGTGGGATCTGTGCCTCAGTCAGTGTCACTTGCTGTGGCAGGATTCTATCTTGGCAAAAAGTCCAAAATTTTGGACGTACTTGTTTTGGCTTCAACGTCTCTTCATATAACAGTTTCCAATTGAAGTTGTATGATGAGCTACCAACCCGCATCACCGGCTAGCTGGTTTTCTATTTTATTGATTAAGTTTCTGTATCACATCGAACCTTCGACCTGTCCTGTGCGTCAACTGCTTCATTTGGCATGCAAGGCTGTACCCGGTCTACCCTCGAGGTGACCTCAGAGGCCTGCACCAGGTGTTGCGGTGGTGTTAAAATGAAATCGCTCTCCGATATGATACAATCGGACAGAGCGGCGCGTGTTTACCAAAGTTGTAAATATCTATTGTAAACTTGGAACATGCCGACTAACATATAACACCTATTAATTTCGATCGTTCTTCGAAACCACACCAAATGCAAATGTCAACAACTATTAGGAGCGAGTCTAAGAAGTGGAAGCAGGCGCCCACTGTGGGGAACAGCCTGCACTTTGTTTGCGAGCTTGAAGAATTAGTAGAGCTGTGGAAGTTGCAAGAAATGGGAAGGATCTGTGCAATGGAGGTAATCCTAACTGAGAAAAACCAGCATGTCGGAATAGAAGGGATGAGAATTATGGCAGTCAGTTAAATAAGCTTCTACCTCTTATCGCCCACATGCAGGCTGTTCAAAAAACTTTGAACGACTCTGGAATTCACACAGACCGACAGGTGGACACACTCTTCAAGTGCCCCTCCAATGTCTGTTTAAAGAAGTATTTCACTCACTTTAGCCAGGATCCACGAATGGAACTCAAAAGCGATCATTAGTAGTGCAATTTGGGAATGGCAGGCCGCCAGTTGCCAAGTCGTTTTCGATGTTAACTTTCATCTCAGTAAATCGCACAAGTAAACAGCATAGCTTAAGTTTAAGTTTAAGTAAACACTTTTTTATTCCAAAAAGTTACTTATTATACCACCCTTGGATGTGTAGGTGGCGTTACGTTGCCTTCGATATTGTTTATGCAGAGCTGTGACGATTGATTCATCCTGCGAATGATGCATGCCTACAGATTTGGGTTGAGAAACGCAATCACAATAAATGCCACGACGCCGTTTATCTCTCGTTTGATTTTGAAAATACTCCAAAGGTTTTGTTAACGGAGTTTGCTAGGATCGCCAGAAGGATGTGTGGAAGGCATGGAGCGATTTCTAACTCCCTCCATGGGGAAGATTTACAGTTAGTGAATCCTCTCCAATCATTTGCTCTTTCAACCACACCATTAGTGCTCATTTGAGTTTGTGTTAGACGACCATCCGGCATTCCACTACTTACCAGCGCATTATACACGTGGCACCACGATACTCTTGCCTAATCCGCCCGCATTTCACACAGCATCTCCAAGCTGGACGCATTAAGTCGGACTGGCAGAGCCATTATAAACTCCACTGGTGTCAGCCTGTGGCAACAAAGCAGAACAACCTTAATACCACAAGAAAACGGAATGAAACGTGTTTTTTTTTTGTAAATTTCGGTCTATTTGGACTTCGCTCTGCAAGATGAGTCCGAAGCGAGCGACCGTCAAAGTATGAGACAGTAAATGTCCTAGCTCGCCTTCACCTCTTACTTAGGCGTCCATTCTAGACAAGTGAACTTTAGCATCGTTTAAAAGGTGTGGCTGCCTTTTTGATGAGCGATATTTGACCAAAGATTAATTGTAAATTTGCAAAATTTACGCTACACTTCACCCCTTAATCTCAGGCCCATTCATCTCACGCGCCACGATGAAGATAAACATATTCATACACAAATACATGTGGAGAAGCGTGACTAATGACAAACACTCGACTTGATGCATCTCTCACCTCTCTGCACACCCAAACAGCGGCAGAGGAAGGCCTTTGTTCTCTCGCCAAAGTTAAATCATAACTTGCAATTGCGTCTTTGGGCTCCTCAAACCTGCTCAACAACTGTCTGATCTCACACCAACAATCGAGGAGTGGAAGGAAGTTTGCAAAAAGGCTGGAGTGAACAACAAATCGCGTTTCAGATACCTTTGTTTTCCTATTCAACCATAACAGTGCCTATGACTGCTAAACATCCGTCTTGTCGTAAACAACTAAAACTACATCAAATGAACTGCTTTGTCTTCTCAAATGCAGATATGCCAAGTCATTTTATGGACGGCTAGATTCAAGGGCATTTAAACAAGAGCTGTGGCAACCGTGAAGACGAGGAAATGATAGGATGGAGGGGAGAGAGATCACTTGCACTTGGTGGACGTGACACTCAGCACACTCCACTGAAAATTGTGATCACTAGGCTGTCATCTACAATTGGGGGCCACCCGCTCCTACCTTTCCAAGCACAAAATTGCTTTATTCTGTCTTGTGGGCGACAACCCATTTGCATAAGCTCATGGAGGAGATGATTTGTGATATTTTTGCAAATTACAGTTTTCAGAATCAGCACGATAAATGTGTCCATTACCGACGTCGGTAGGAGTGGGGAGCAGCCTCGGCGACACAGTTACTGACAGAACAAAATGTGAGACCTGCTGAGAAGGCAAAGGTCGCACCTTTGCATTTTGTCGCGCCTGAAACGCACTGTAAGCGGCGCATTCAGTCACTGGTGCTCAAACCTTTCATTGGCATGGCATGAGGGCAGGATGCCAGTTTCTCACGCACTAGACCTACCATCCCTTGCAAATAGAGAACAGTCAGCATCCTCTTACTACCTTGCGCCGAACAAACTTGCCCGTTTCTACCATAAACAGATGTGACAAAGGACGCATGTCACATGTTTACGACGTTGGAATGGAAGAGGGTAATTCGAGGAGCGTACATGTGCGACAGCGGTAACGACGAGGCCAAATGATGGTGTGACTCGTGTGTATAAAAAGGCCAGATGCCGTCCTTTTTTCTCTTCAATTCGCATGAGTCAGCCGTCCTACCTAGTGGAAAGTCTTAACAAAACAAAGAGGGAGTGACAATACCCAGCATAAGTTAAAGGCTAAAACCTCTCCTTTTCATGAGGCCTGAAACTTTCCTGGGACTGGGATTCAGGTCATTAAATTCATCCATTTCCCTTTGTTATTGCCATGGCTTCTAACGTAAATTAAGGGTATTCCAATGGACCTTGCAAAGTGGCACAATATCGAAGAAAAAAAAGGAAAGAAGAGTGAATTGGAATGAAGCTCTGTAAAACGTCTTATAATCTTACATTTAGACAATTATTCGCAGAGAAAATTGTTAAATATAATAAAGTACACTTGCCACGAAAATAGGACCGGCCTTGTGGCCCGATCGAAAAAATAAAATTTTAGTTCAAAAGTTCTCTCGCTCCATTGAACAACCGTCAAACGACTACCCATCACAGAAAAGGTGCTGACGATAAAATCTCTCCCACGGCAGGAGTTGTACAACTTCTCATCAACCTACTTGTTGCAGCGCAGTGTTTGAAAGTTATCGCATTCACTACTGGTGTCACATTCATGCAACACACCGACTCTCTTGAGTGACCCCGACGTCACGTAAATGTAACGTGTGCTTGACAAATTTATGGCAGGTGATTGGGCCAAACCATGTCCCACACAAATGTACAAATCTTCTGCGGCTTGAGAGTAAATGCGCACTTTCGGTCTTTTAAGAGGGAGTTAATTTAGCGGCGAACGATGTCACATAGAGCCCATTCCCCTCCAAAGCATTATTCATCTGCAAGCATTCCAATCATCGGTTAGTTCGAAGGGTGAAGCAAAGGTACCAAATCCATCACATCGCAAAATGTACATAAACCCAACTACAAAACATTTGCTAAGCCAGTTGAAGGCGTCATCAGACAGGAGAACAAAGTCCGAGAAATAGGAGATTCACGAAAAATCTGGCGGGCTCAAGACAGCCAAATGGCGAGCACCTCAGCTTATGTGTAAGTCACAATCACGCCACTGCGGTCAATGTCGATTTGACGCACCCAGCCGGACCGCCTCATCACATGCATCTGCGCCACGGGGGCCTTAACTGGGAGCCTGGAAGGCAATTCGCAATTACAGACCTCACATCTGCAAAGCAACCCCCACTCCACTCCAGAGAGAGCCACTAGTCTGCGTCCATTCATAACTCAGCATTTATTGATAGTAGTACGACAAAGCAAGACTTTTCTCGATATGACAATGAAATTTAGCGAAGCACATAGACCGGCGAATTAAGGGAGACAGCGAGAAAGAGGGTAAAAAGAATAAAGCTAAGCTGGATCAGCTTAGTTTCCAATTCAGAAGAGAGCCATTAACTCATCTAGGGACAATTCGCCGTCCTTGTTGGAATCCAGTTTATCAAAGAAAGCCTTTACATGGCTGTCATCAAGAGGTTCCGCCGAGTACGACTGTAGTGCGGCTTTGAGCTCAGCACAACTAATCTTGCCCGATTTGTCCTTGTCCAACTCAGCGAAAAGCTTCTCGACAGTTTCTTTGAGACTAGGAAAGATAAAGCCGAACGAGAATTGTTGCTAACGCAATCATCACAAGCCCGCAAGGCAGAGACCAAAACTTACCCCATGATACAGGAAAAGGAGCGGACGCAACAAGGCAGCCAGGAACTTGCCAACTGTCTGCTGATAAGTTTCTTTTATATACACGTTTTATTGAGCAAAGGTTGGCCAACGCCATTCACCAATGAGAGTGCGGCGAATGAACGCAGGATGGTGATTGGGCAGTACTGCTGTATTTTGATTGGTGACTGCTGCATTTTATAAAGTAATTGGTCGAAATGATAAATGGGTGTTTCAAGCTTGGCAGGCTTGGTCTGCCAGGCTTGATGTTTAGCAAAGCATGAACGGATTGCCAAGTTCTTAATCTTGGTGCTCTGAGTTGTTCGGAGCTCAGCAAGCGCAAAGAAGTGCGTTAAGGTATTTGAGCAGCTACATCCTGAGGAGGTTATTGTCACTACTTGGTTTGGCGGTAAAATCGAAGCCAGTTAACTTCTAATATCCCCCAAGAGAAAACAGCAGGACTGTATTTGCGAATAAATTGGTAGTGCATGCGTAAGAGGAGAAAGCTAAACAAACTAAACTGAATGATGCTGATAATTTTCTGAAAAAAAGTGCCTTTCCACTTCCACTTCCGGTTGTGTCTCTGTGTTATAAAAAACGCGGAAAATACAGGTTTAAACCAGTACATGAAACTCCGACGTTGTATTCAACGCAAGGCGAGATAGGGTAGATAAAGCATAGAAAAAGCACACCATTCGATACGGAGGCGGAGAGGTTAGAATCACCTGTCATCTGTGTTCGACGGAGATTGAAGGAGTGGTAACAGAATCCAAGCTGACAAAACACTCGTTTAATATTGCTTTTTCGGTCATTATTCAAATGAAGGTGGCTTAAAAATTCGAATGTCTTAGAAAATTTAAGTTAAGAAGACTAAGAAACAAAGTGTACAGAAGTTGTCATCCATAACCTCTTTAGTCACGAGTTTTGGCTAAGAGAGGACAAAATTATGCTAGAACCTGCGTAAGACCTTTGATGAGCTTATCACTGGAATTATGTTTTGGTGACTGCTAACATGACATCTGGTGTGCCATGTGCAGCAAAGAACGATGACTTCAGGATTGCTTATGTTCAATCTTGCCACAGGCTTACACCACTATCGCTTCCCAAAATGCATGCAAGATCACTGACAAATGGATCGCATAGACATGAGTTGAATGATTTATGCTAGGTAGACGGAATGCATAAGAAGTCCCACTTCAATGAGGCTTTTGGCATCAGCACTGCTGCTGCTAAATAGAACTTGTCACCCAAGTAACTAACTTGGAGGTCGAGTAGAAAAGCATTTGGATCGGCTACTGTAGATGACATAAGCAAATTACCGGACTCCTTTAACTCTTTGAAAACTATCTAAGTTAAGGAAATCGAATGAGAGTTTTGTTGGATGACCTTTACGAAACATCAATGTTAAAAATGCGGTGCTACAGTTAAGCACTGAAATTCCTTTAAAGAGGCCTGAAGAGCCACCTCAAGGGGACGGAAAGGTCTGCGTATTCCAAGTTTGCAAATGGTTGTCTTTTAAACCGCAAAATTGAGTTTACCAATAGCATCAGTATTGTATTTTTACCTTCTCTATTTGTGATTTTATTCTCCTCGTTTTCTCAGACAAAGGTTTGCTCTGTGACGATTTATTAGACATACGGAGAGAATACAAGCTGACCTGGGGAATAGAAGGCGAGTAAGTGGAAGTTTATAACGATTCCTAGGGGTTGTTCTTATACTTCACGTCTCTCATCTACCAGGGACATTTTAACAAATTAGTATGCATTACACACCTCTTGGGTTGCATAGCGCTCTAATGAATAAAAGGAATCCAACTATGACTGTTGCCACATGAAGTGGGGATTAGGAAAGTTTCGACGATCGAGGACAAACTCCCCTTTAAACCAGCACGCACACCGGTGGCAAAAGTGATGACAACTAAAAACCTAACTCTCCACTCTTGCACTTGTAAATCCCCTATTTAAAGACGATTTAAGGTACATTTTGTGATGCCGTGGGCCCTTCATGCTTCTTTGAGACATCTGATTGGAGCAAGGACATTTAACGATGGTCATGCCTCACAACATTACCTCTTCTATCAGTGTTTTTTTGTGCTAAAAGGTTCCTCATTCGATGAAACACCACTGGTAAACGACTCTGCCCACTTTGCGCTTCCTTTATGGTTAGTCACCGCCTTCACTTTAACTGAACGAGCAGTTGAAGCGAATAAGGTGGTGAATGGGGTAACGGATCGACTTGTTTACAACAGTTAGTTGACTCTAAGCGCCACTATCGACTCGACAACCATTCGGCTGCAGCCACTAATGCAGTGCAATGTAAAGAGGGTTCACAATCTGGCGGTACCATGTGTCACAATGGACCCGCATACATTGACTATTGAAACCAGCTTATGCTAGCTGCATCATTCCCCTTTCTGCGCGCTGTTAACGGTTAGATGCTGATGAAGCATTTTTGGATGAACTATTCTGCCAAGGTAACTACTCAAAAGTGATGTTAATGTGTTATCAAAGTCATCCTCTTACAGCCATTTTCGTACATTGGCGTATGACCAACCTCATACTGCTCTAATCCATTCGGGTTTTCAATTGTTCAGGTTGTAGCTCCAAAGCGTTTCAAAACCACTGCCTGACTGTCCCGTATATCTACCAGCAGTGTCAGACGATTCCTCAACGAGTACTCACTACTTTATGTATTAATTTGAGCAGATTCAGATTTGACATCTTCCCCATCACTTCATCTTTTGCTTGCCACTTGGACATGCTCCCATTCTTGTTGCAGATAAGTGAAGTCGTCTAGCAAGCCAAATATCTTCCCACTTCACTCCACTTAGAGTTAGTTTGGCCATGGGATTATTGGTTCTGTCACTGTGAGAACCTAAGATACAGACCAGCTGGTGTGGTGAGGTAGACGCTTCGCCCGCATCACTAAGTTCGCAGCTGAGGGAGAGGCCATTAGGTCGTTTCTAAGTGAGGTTAGGGGTCCACGAATGGATTAACTAGGGTCAGAGTTCCCCACTCAAGAGATTATTGGCCAAAAAATTTGGGACTACTTCCAGGGGTTGTACAAGCCCTTCTTTCCAAAAGACCACCTACTAGATGGACTTCAGCTCCAAGGGCGTAAATATGACGATGTCTCCCCTCGAAGTAATCACTCTTTCACCTCAAACTATGACCAAAAGTGACAATCGAGGATTCTTTCCTTTTTTTAATTATTAACAATAAGTCTTGATCGAAATATTTTTATGCCAAAGAATAGGAAAAAGCAAAACTCAGCCTCTGAATGTGGATAAATGTGTCGGTTTAAACAAATAACTCTACAACTCGTCCTATTTTCAAGAAATCTCATGGGAGAACTAAGTAAGACCCCAAACTCAAGAACTAAGACATGGTATTAAGGGAGTGACCATTGAGCATGTCTTACTTTCAAATAAGTATTGACGATACCACGCGGGTGGTGAATAAATCGCGTTGCGCCACCTGTTTAATCAAAGCACAAAGGGAGCGCGAGGCCAGTAGTCTTCGAAACCCCGTGACTCATAAACGTGCCGACATAGTGCTCTGCTAGGGTTAATTTTCGCAAACTAAAAAACTGCCTTAATTGAGCTTGTGCTGGCGAAAACCGTCAAACAAGCCAGTGGGCTAAAACGAGATTTAAGTCAGTAGCAATATTTGCTAATGAGAACGCTTTCAGTGCATCATCTTTTGAGGCGGCGATTTGCAATCTCAACATTGCCATCTCCGCTACCGATGTTCCTATCTCCATATGATAGAATTTTGTTTCACATGTTTAAAAGTGATTTAATCAGATGCAGAAATCATACGTTTACCCCAATCTCAGTCAACCAAACCGCGTTTACAAAGTACATGGAGTCACATGCAGTCATAGTGGAGCAGATTTTAGAGGTTATCTCATGGTTTGATGAAAGGTCGACAAAATAATAAACATTTGCCATGGCAACGGTACTGTAAATCCTGGTTACCTCGAGAGATTTTGAATTACTTAAAAGTCTTAAAAACATCTCACAAACCAGAAGTTAAACGACTCCTACTTAATTAATTTAAGTAAAACTTGTTTGTAATTTGTTGCTAATGTAGTGAAATTTGTAAAATAAGTTAATGTGAAATCAATGTGGTTAAGGAACATTTTCTTCTACCTATCCAAAACAACACAACACGGTTGGCTTTTCGAGTTCTGGGATGGATTGACACCAGCTATAAACATGCTTTCTCCCAGTAGACTATTCGCCCAGAGTTGAAAGATTGCGATGGATTTAACAAATTTCTTAAACTAGTAAATTGTGCTATGTAAATAAAAGCTCTGAACGGCCTATTTTAGCAAAGCACAAAAATAATTCAGTGCATTTATCTGCATTTATTAGGGATAGTCGCATGATGAAAGTCAAAGGCCATCTACTTCATGGGGTTTGAAGCAAAAGGTTAAAAGAAATGGCGTTTAATCTTTTTCAAGCTGTGATTATGAGACTTCCATTTACCGATTAGAATCCAGTTAAGTTTTGAACTAACGACGACTTAGTTTTCTCTACCAAAAATTGCTTTATTTAACCCCAAAATTACACTTACTTTAGCGTCACTAAACCATTCCAGTTGGTTTAGTTGAAAAAAAATAGATTGAACGACATTAGGCGTCTGGATTTAACCAACCAATTTCTCCGATAGGGCAGACGAATGACTAGCTAACTTCGTATTTGACAACTAACGGCATGTCTAATCGCTAGTTTTTTCAATAGCACAAAGTGTGAGAAACTGTAAAAGGCGTCACTCTTCGATCAGACTCAACTACTTCGGATGAGGTGGCTTGCAGCAGGATAGTCGCGATTCTCGAGGTCCACTCTGTTACAACTTTAAACGTGGGGACGATGGAAGCATTGGTAACTATAATTCTTTGTTTGCTCTTGTATACGTGGACTGGCCTTCAAACCAAGCCAAATTCCAATCTCTTCTTCTCCCCTTCCGATAAAATGAATGCATTGAGATTAACTTAATGCCTTCTCCTGCACAGCGGGATGTCTCTTAGGCTACAACAACATCTCTGGACATCTACACGATAAAAGAGGACCTAGGGGGGTATTTCTTCCTTCTTAAAAAATTTATCCTTACGGATTAGAAGCCGGTCGCGGTTGTGAGAGATGCTACTTTTAAAAGAAATGCGATCTTTTCTGTTGTCATAAAAAATGCTTTGAGGCTGCTAATGATTATCCTGCAAGCAAGCTAAGCGATTTGGAAGTTTTGGCTGAGCCATCACCCTCTTGCTCGAGAAATTTTATTCTTTTAGGCATGTATGAAATGGGAGTAGATGGGTCCTCCATGCCTATCTTGGAATAGCATTCACTATTCATGGTTAATAAAGGACATATTGGTCACAGTTGACTGTGGCACATCTTCTCACTCATTGCCGATGTTTCACAAATATCGCCTCAATGTCCTTTTACGCCTAGCAAGGGCTAGCGATGTGCGAGGACGCCCGCAGTCCCACACACGAGGACAAACGTATGCATCAGTACGGCAAAAGCAACTTGGTTCCAGCATACAACAACGAACTGGTGACTCGAAATCAACCATGTAATTCGGGCTGAAACTCCATGAGCACAATGCTTGAGGAAGGTGTAGTGCAGACCCCACTGAGTCTGTAGGGAAATCCGATTTGCGAATGAGCCACCAGCCGCCTTAAGCTGCGGTTTGTATGCACCACTAATCCCTCCTCGATCAACAACTCAGACTGCAGACTGATGGGTGGATGTGAGAACACAAGTCCGACAACCGAGTGAGGAAAAGTGATGCCAACGACCAGGCGCGTCACTTTATTGTCATTGCTTGTCAATCATTGCTTAATGATTGCTTGGCCTTACATACAAGGCAGTTGGAGATGAGCCAGCCAAGAAGTCAAGCTATTCAAAGAGCCTATTTACGAACCTGAGGGACTAGAAATTTGAACAGACAAGTTTTTGTCAATGACTTTGCACATGAAGTCCAGTGCACCTCCGATGATGCCACGCCTTCTAAATTTTCCTTTAAGATCTACCAGTCAATGCTCCTGCCTGTGAGACCACCTGACACCTGGCAGTGACTGGCTTTTGTCTAGTCTTTGTACTCGTGAGCTAACCTTCCTCCTAGAAGTCTCGAGTCGTTACACGGAGTTCGTGCAAATTTCGACAGGGCTACAAGTCCTATGCCAAGTCTTTAAAAAGTGCCTATTCAAACGTTTTATGAAATATTAAAAAAAAAACCTAATAGGAACACTTGAAGCGATTTTATCCTCAAAAAAATCACAATTTAACCAGAAACTAGAAAAGGTTCAAATGGAATGGTAGAGAATGTAGAGGATTGATGAAAAAAACCAACAACATCGGGGTTGAAAGGCAGTAGAAAATTTTGTTTCAGCTTTGAGCTGGAGGTGAGATCGTAGTGGTGGGAATGGCAGTAGCGGTATTAATAGAGGTCGGGGGTGAATCCGAGGCGAGGTGAAGGGAATCCGCCAGTCGAAGAATGCGATCCCGGCAGTTGCAGAGGTAGGCCTCCGTCTCCCACAACATCTGCAGGATAGCTCGTGTGTCTTTGGTGTCTAGCGCCACGTTTTCTGAAAGTAGTGGACTAAAGCGAAAGAAAGGCACGCCGAGAGAACTGCACCAGGCACGAGAACGCTCCACGATACGACCTGGTGGAGATGAAGATATCAATGAAAGTAGAAGATAAATGAATGGTGAACAGAGGTGAAAACGATTTCCTTCCTTCTCCAGTTATTTACCCAACCCTTAATGTATAAAAATAATTACCCCGCTCGATCATTCATTCACTGACTTCCACGCAGATGAGTTGAAAAAAGGTGGGTTCATCTCCTCAAGAAAGAAATGTACCAAAAACTTCCCTTTTCCCTGTCCCCCGAATCTGCTACCTCTACGCCTTGTTGCAGCACCTTATTGACAGCCCCAGTATCAGCATCACATTCCGGTGATACTCCGATTTTACAAGCAAATGCGGTGTCACAGGCAAGTAACACGTGCATGTAAGCGGATTATGATAACTGATATTTTGGCGATGTGAAGGAAGAGTGAAACACACCTCTCTTGGGAATACAACTATCAACTATATTTACAAAATTTCGAATGACAGTGCACTCCAGCTGCAGATAGGTTCGTGATTTTTTCCAGAGCAGAATTAAGAAATTGACACAAGGTCCACAAAGCATCAGTGAAAATAGTCAAGACTGGCGACAAACCTCACGAAAGGAATGCTCCACCTGCTACCTTGATGGAATATGCAAGTGGTGATGGCATAAAGGTATTGGATAGCCTGCTTCTCAGCCCACATACATTCCTTGCTCTTGGATGACAAAAAATAATGTGACACTTTTATTACAGAGGCTGCTTAATAATATCAAGAGCATGCTGAATGCTCACAGACACCACAAAATACAGATATGCGTCAGTGTGTTGGCTTGATGTTCAAGTCGGAGAGAAAGTCGACTGCGTCGTGGCACTTGCTGGATAGCATCAAAATCTCAACATGGTTCTCAACAAAACGCTACATTCCATAATCGATAAAACCAAGTAACAATTCAACTTGTGAATACTTCAAATATGGACTGTTGACCTTCAAACCAACCTACTATACTTCATTAAGAATGAAAAGTAATCTACATTTATGTCTACGATTACCAGAGATCATATAAAGCGTGAGTGGGAGTGACGATTGAAGAATTTGCTCAGATGAAGGAATAAGTGGAATGGAGGAAGGAAAAAGAGGTCGCCTAACCCTCTGACATGGTGGCCATTTCGACAAGCATCCTCGAGAGCTCCGTAACTCCCAAGGCTACACGGTAAGCCTCAGACATGTTCTGTGGTCGGAAGACATCCAACTGTTGCACCTCGCGCAGCGGCACTCGTCCCGTACCCAACGAAGTCACACTGGCAATCGGAATGGTCGTTTCACGCTGCAATGGAAACAGAGAAAGAGGTGAACCCCAACTAATGAGATTTCGGCTTGTGAGCATCGTGTGGGATTAATGTACATCAGCACGACTCCCTTCGCGTTTCCAATCAGACCAGTCGGTGAAAAGGACCTATATCTTAGACGTGAATGAACAGAGAAGTACAACATACTCATAGGCCATGACTGAGAAATCAAATTAAAACGGAAAATTTATTAATGTTGCAAGTACTTTCAGTACGTACTCTCCATTCTCGGCAAAGCCTAATCCTGACGAAAAACAGCACATTGGTAATCGTGGTCAGGTAGACAGTAGGTAAGTTAATTCGTTTTCTCAAGTTCATCCAATAAGCAGAAGAAATACAACGAGTTTTATTAATGTTACTAGCATTCCTTTCGTATGGACGACGATGAATCAATTAGGAGAAAACTTCGAGATTATGCGCTATCTGATTCCCAGAATGTGGTGAAATTACTGCTTTTAGACCAAAAATAGGGATGGAGGGGAAACGCACTCGAAGACGTCGGACAATGTTAAGCTCTTGCGCTTCAGTAAGCAAGTCCAATGTGGGATTGTTAGCAATGAGACCACCATCTAGGAATGGGCCACAAGCACGGAAGTAGCTCGGCGCTGCCCCTGACGCTCTCGCAGCTCTCCAGATGGGCTAAAAAAAGAAATGACGAATCAGAAGGCCTACCAATAGCTTCCAATTCCTTCATGAACAAGTAATGCACCACATAGAGTGGTAAAGAAGCAAGGATACCATGCTTGGGCTTTTATTGGTCAAAAGATCGCGGACCAGATGAAAAAGAGAAAATACGCAATTCACAGATGTAGCGAAAGATCAAAGTTCGAAACCTCGGATATACAAAACTTTCAGAAGAGGGATTTTCTACTTCCCGAAGGAGACTTTACAAGTGAGCAGGCCTAATTCAAAGCCAGTTAAACAAATTAAGAAACAAAGGTGGAGGTCTAAATTACAGATGACAATGCGTGAATCGGAAAACCAGAACATTTTTTAGCTCCTTGAATGCATATTCTGATACATAGTGCGACTGTTAGAACGTCGTAGAAGTTGTATGTTCTCCTAGAAAAGTGGATTATGGAGCTTTTAAAGGAGAATAGGGTTTCACTTCTCCACGATCTTTGCTTTAATCAAGTTCCGAAGCTAAAGTGATTCACTTATTGGAAAGGGGAACACACCTTCGACAGGCAAGGAATGTGGTGATTAAAATAAAAAAAATGAAGGAGCTTAATTTAAGAAGCGAAGAAAGATCCAAAGGGAAAATCAGGCATATAACCAGTAAATTGGTATGAGAAAGAGTTTGCCTTTAAAGAGGCAAGATAGTAGCAAGGAGAGAAGGGGCTTTGTCAACAAAATACCTAAGACAATCGATGATACGCTTTAAAGAATGTCAGTGCTGACTTCGCAAGACAGCAATAACTCTGAGCACGGAGATTGAAGCAAGGTTGTCAAACTAGTAATCAAGTAGAGGCTATAATTTTGTCGGGATAAGAGACAATTCTCTGCTCGGCCTGCAAATCTCCGATCGTTCAAAGTCACGCTAGAGCAAAATGCCAGAAAACGTAGTGACCGCATGCCTGCCTGATAAAGCTCTAAACTGAAGGAGACAACACGACAATGGGGCGAAAAGAAAGTGTTTTCTAAAAGGATGAAAGAACGCCACATTTTCGAAGGTGCATAAAATAAGAGCCCCTCTTAGAGATCTGTGTAGACGGATATTTGCTGGCTTACGAGTTTTGAGAGATGATCCACGTTGGACATTAAGATGTCTGTGGTGGGAGCATAAAAGTGGCAATTGAAGAGTGTTCTTAAAATAACCAGGGCAGCCTTCCTGCATGCATGCATAATTTTCTCTTAAAATCGAAGCAAATATTAATTTAATTTGAACAACTTTCGCCACAAAAGCCATGTCATCCATTCTTTCTATAAATTTAGGAATGGATTTTAGTGACAACTCACTACTATCTTGTTGTCAGCTATTCCATGGCCTTTGGTGATTTAGCGCATTTGAAACTTTTAGGGTTTGCAACATATGTCTAGACACCAGTGGGAGAAAATAGCCTTTTTGTTCAGAGAGAAAAGCGAGGGGAAGGGAGAAAACTCTCGACTGCTGCAGTACCGACAGTTTAATTTGAGCGACCCACTATATATGAAGACTTCAAGAAATGTGCGATACACCTCGAAACCTATAAAGGACGCAATTTCCAGAGCGATTTTATAACCCCGGCAACGCAGAACAATCGGCACATATACATCAGTAAAAATAAAGTTTTTCACTTTCGACGGCAAGAGGAAATTTTAGCTTCAAAAAAACTCAGCTCACTACCAGCTTACTTGCTCACTGATCGGTACAGGCTGTTCCACACCCTTAGAACTGTACATATAGCGTCGAGAAAAGGAAGAAAGGAGCGACACAATGGATTCCTGCAAATCTGACTCGTCCTCTCCCCCGTGGCCAACTTCATGGATAGTCTCACCGAAGAGGTCACGTAGGAAGGTGTTCAGCAAGCGCTTGTAGGGTACGTCAGTGGTCATGGGATTGTCAGTAACCTGGGTGGGAGCGCTGGTGTTGGCGGAGGTGGCAGAGGAGGTGGATGCAGAGACACGAGGGGAACGGGCTTCGAGGAGCTCTGATACAAGTTGTTCCATTCGTTCATAGGGTGCAGGATAGTTGCGAAACATGTGCAGTCGCGGAGGAAAGTGATCACCTCGCAGAGCTGTGACTGAAACTCTAAGGAAATGAGAGTCGAGCAGAGCGTTTATTCATTACTCGGATTCCTAATTGAAACAAGAATCCAACGTTTAATGCTAACATTATCTTCAGTCATTGAAATCCGTGCCTTTTAATAAAATGTTCATTTATCCCTAGCTTGATTTTTCTCTCCAAACAGCGCTATTTGAAGTGTAAAGTTGAGTATGGAACTCAATTAGGAGTTGCAGTGGAGGAAGAGTTGGAGAAAAGTTGACGTTCACATCCATTTACAATGTATTAAGAAGAGAAAAAAGACGACGTAGAAACCTCAGAAGAAGGAGTAAGGATAGACGTGAACTGTTCAAAAAGTCGCATGGAGTTAAGCAATCAGCAAACTTTTAAGAACTTCCTTTTGGACATCACCAACCGAGAGGGCAGGGAAAAAAGACAATGTAGTCGCCCCAGAAACCCCTTTGCATGATTTTAGACGCCCGGAAAGTCATTTATGTTTATGGTCAACCGAGTCGATGTTATGAGAAGCCTAGGATGCAAAGCCGACGCACAAATTGTGTCAAAGAGGATTGGCATTTTGTCGTAGCGTTTAAATTTCATGCGGATGTGTGCAAACGCCTCCATTTTACAATGAGGATATAGTGTAAAGTTAAAACAATTTCCAAATGAAGCGAGAAATAAAAAAAAGCATTGTATTCAGAGCGATTCGCCTTAGTTATAGGAAGAACGTAGAAACTGAGCAAAGTGGAAAGAGGAGCGACAGGTAGACGTTACAGAAGTTATTTGATCTACATATGGTCTGAATCATGAAAGCCCAAATTTCTGTCAGGAGTGTCTCATGTACTGTTTCAATAGTGGAAACACAAGACTAAGTCCGAGCCCCTAAAATCTTGAAGGTAGGACCAAAATTTGGCCGCAAGGAAAGAGAACATTGTGCGAAATTAATCAAATCTGTTTCAAGGTGTCGATGGATCCGGACATACCTTCAGCTTTCGACACGAGCTGACAAGAAGTTGGTGAGTCATTGGCAAAATTATGTTTATGCCAACTGCTCTTGAGTCATCATTATCTTGGTAAACCATGACATTTATCTAACTGTGGCCACTCAGTAACCCTTGACATAGGCACATTCCGGTGCTATGGCGTCAGCAGTTGTTCAAGACTCAGCAAAGCATGTTCGCTTGATAAACAGAGTAAACAAGAGAGACTTAGAAATTGGGAGTGTCAAAGAAGACAAAAATGGTTTGATCAAACTATTCCCAAGAGAATCAAAGTGAACAAGAACAGGTTACACAGATTGCGAATTTATAATTTCTGCCGAGTAATATCGCAAGAGTCAAAATTACGAATTAGTTAGAGAATCTAAAAGAAATTTGTACTTTTTTAGAGACCGTTACCGTCATTTTAACCAATGCAGCCACTATGATTTTGCTTACTGTGCTCATCGAATGCTTTTATGCTTCCCCCATTGAATGTTTAATTTCTTGACTCCAATGCTTTGCTCTAACAGGTTCTAGGTCCTGCGGCATGCTCTAGAATACTCTCTGCTCTAACCTAGTTATTTCCAACTCCTGTCCGAAACGCATGCATACACGCACACAACTCCATTTCATCCGGTCTGTATATCGAGTGGAGCTACACCTCGAAGGGGGTATGATAAACACTAGCGAGTCTATACATTCCGGAGGCGACTAAACTAACAATTTCATTTCATTTACCAACACCTCAACGATGAACGAAGTACCTTCAGAAATACACCCCATTATTCATAATGGAATGTCAATGTGTCAAAACTAGCTCACGCATCGTGCTGCAATGGCCAGTTAGACGGTAAAAACACCAAGAACTAACACAGCTGCGAAAAGCCATCCTCAGTCTTCTGTACTTCGTCATGCTTCATAAGTCAAATAAGCAGCGAGAAAGGAGGATCGGGATAAAAACGCAAAGTGGGCAGAAGTACTTGCTCTCACAAACGGAAAATCAGTCATAAAAGCGGGATTCTCGTTGGGAAACGGTTAGGATACGCACTATGAAGCTTCTCTTAGTGATCGAATTTGTGTAACACCAGAAACCATTAAGACCTATGACCTAGGATTGCTCCGTACAAAGTCTAGATACGTGGAGAGATGCGGGGTGTATGACTGCTTAGGTGTACATCCATAAGTAGTTAATTGTGGACGTGTAAGTCGGATGGTCTTCCGAGAACTAAAAAATTAAACGTAGCCCTTCAAAATCGGCCATTTTACGTTTCCTAACTGCTAGTAATGCAATCTAGACCCTTTATGTCAGGAATGATATTAAAAATTGACAATTATTTTCGGAAATAGGAGATTGAATCTGAAGTCTGTCGTTCAATAGGTGAATAACAAAACACTCAAGTCAACAATGACCAAGGAAGAATCACCAAAATATTTGGTGATTGATAAACTTTGGATGTAATGATTGAAATAACATCAAGATAGTCTCACAGCAGCTGCAGACAAACTTCATCCACTACAATATGGCAAATATAATAGAAGAAGAGAACACGCTTCGTACCAAGCCTCGCAAAAAAGCATGAAGCCTATTGTTTGCCATCAATACCAGCGCAATGCGAGCTCTCTAGTAAAGCTAGCAAAATCAAAATTCACAGCTCTTTCAAATGTCCGACTTCTTTAAAATCTCAAGAAAATGGCAGTCTGAGAAATGGAAACCATGGAGTTAGGAAAACAAAATGTACTTTGGGAGAAGGATAGGGAAAATAAATCCATTCATCAATAGCTTCCAACGAATTCAGCAATAAATGGTGCATTACACATCAGCCAAGTCTAACGGGTAGGTCACAAGGATTCAAATCCTCCTTCACTAAATTATTATTAATCCGTGGCCTTACAAAAGTAACTTAACTTTAAAATTATCACAACGCCAGCGATCAGATGAAATAGTTGACACTTGCATACCAACATTTACTTTCTCAAAAAGAGAGGCTTCCGGGTAAAGTCTCAAATTTGGTCTCCCTCCTCCAATATTCTATTACCTCTTTGGAGAGGTTTTAATTCTACATCCTATCCAGGAGTTGAACTGGCAACCGAATGACGCTACATCTACTGCCAAAGCCCAGAACCTGCTTTATTCATCAAAAACTTGTCAAGTAGTATCATTCTAAGTCCTCCACCAGTCACCTAGGAAGAATAGGGGAAAATCGCGGATAGATGGGTACCCACAATGGAAGACCCCAAAGTAAACACACCCAATGGTCTGCAGACAGTGATCTCTCGGTTTAGCCTTACAGTCTGAATATTCATAAAAATACCTCATCATGTAGCAGAGCTTTAAAGCGCTCTTTGCCCATGGGAATGTCAATCTTTCACTTAGCAGTTTCAACTTTATCCGGACAGGCGGGATAGATATGAAAATTAAAATCCCAGTGTGCCAAAAAATTAATCAGACTAGGAACAATCCACTACCTCAAATAACTGCTTCTAACTACCCTAATGAGATAAGTGTAAAATATCTACGGGGCAAACGCATTATTTTTAAGGCGGGCTTCATGAAATAATCTTAAATCTAATTGGTAGAGTGATGTTTAGTGGCAAAAGTTGGCCCACCCTACAATGTTTTTCCGTGTTCATTATTCTGTGCCGCTTTATTTCGATTCAAGAGAAGCTCTGTGAGACACCAAACCAAAGATATGCTTTACATATTCTATATCTTCTGACCAAAGAACGGAAAGGCGAGCCAATGTGTAAACAAGGTAACCAGTTCAAAGAGACGTTTCACACTAATGTGTGAGTAATCCTTAATGCGAAACCTTGACATGCTAGCGGAATAAGTAGTATGTTTTAGTAAGCTGGAGGAACGACAACCAAAGCAATTGAAACTCACCGCACATCAGTGATGTCCGACATGACTGATTCCTCACCAAACTCCTCTCGCAAAAGACTCTCTAGTCCCTCTGTAGGGTAGGGTCGATTACCGACGAAAATCTTCTCCTTCAGCCGGAAATACAGACACCGGTTATAGCGTACACACTTTCCTTGCACGATATTTAACGCCAGCATAGCTCCAGTAGACGTGCCTGTATAGAAGAATAGAGGAGCTTAAGATACACTAGAAGGTAAAGACATTAGCCCAGAGGTATCATAAAGAATAACAGACATTGGTGTTAGTGAGTGTATGAAACAGACCGAGCATGAGTTGATTAATTTTCTTGGGAAATGAGTCGCACGATTATAAAAAAATTTAATACAGAGGACACTTTAAGCGCATCATGGTGTAAAACAGGAGACAGCCGTAAGTTAGGCAGTACTCATCGTTCAGGATCAGCTGCACACCCGGAAGGCTATAACATTTCAGGCGTCAGAGCAATTTCTGACTTTCGACAAGCACAAAAATAATTGAGCACTGAATTGATGCGGAAGGCAAGAGTTCCATGGATTTTACAGTTAAATGTGACGACATCACTTGATTAAGAAGTCAAAGTGCGTTCAAAGGGGTAAGTGGCAAAGTAAAGTAGATTCAATCATCCGGAGAATTAATCTTGCACCAAAGCTTATCGAGTAGTGGCGTGAGCAATTCGTAAAATTATACCGAGAGATCTTAGCAGTAAAAACCCACCGATCACCCAATCATAGAGGTCGCGAATGGGTCGCCCTGCAGCTTTTTCGATTGCTCTCAGGATCTGGCACAAGACTAGGCCCCTAATACCTCCACCATCGAGACAAAGCACTCGATAGCCGCGTCTACTTGTGCGGAAACCCTCTGCGTCTCTCTGAATGTTCTCCAACTCCTTATCCTCCGCGGTGGGTCGGCATAAAGTGGAGGACGTAATGGAGAGAAGGTTTGGGTCGATACTCCCACCACCTTAGGCGAAGTAATTGGTAAAAATGAAGCAAACATTGGTAGCACATTTAAAATAACCTCAGCAAGTTAAGCCCAAATGTGTAATATCCGATTTCGTCGAAAATGGTGACTACAACTTGCACAAATGAAGTAGTAAAATCAGGGAAGAACATTCTATCATCCATAGAAAGAAGTACGTATGGAAGTTCTTTGTATCAAGAGAATCAATTTACCCTCATAGACGTATGCATGTTTGAAAAAAATTTTCCTTCCCAGAAATGTCACGATCATTCGTGAGACTAAAAAGCGCGATATCCCGACGAGTGACAAATACCACTGGAAGCGATTCGCAAAATAAAAGCAAACCTGAGCACATTCAAAGTAATGACACCAATATATACATATGCATGTTTAAAAAAGGCTTTAGTGGGAAGTAGGAGAGAGTCACTAAAATGAGATGAAAGGAGCGTGTACACGTTCGGCAGTATTTTGAGTGAGTTAAAATGTGCTTTCAGGATTCCCCACCCGACCTCAGGAAGATAAACAGTTATCCTCATTTTCCCACGAAGTGTTTCGAAGACCGAAGACGATTTCGCGCGTGCCTATGTTCTACATTGGCTGTGATAGAAAGTAGTCGAGTTCGAATGTTGTGTTTGGATGAATCGAGGTGATGAACCGGACGACCTTACAGCTGAAGCAGGAGCTTTCAGAAAGTCTAAGAACGCCTGGGCATGAGCATATTGCAAATAGGGACACAAACCCATTCCTCCTCATTATATCTCTTACATGTAAGTCACACTCTATTATGGGGTTTTGGACAAGGAATGCATTGGCCGATGCGAAGTTGATAAACATTTCACGTGCTTTTCTTCATCATCCTGCGTTCTCATAGCCCATTCGCTACGAGGTGCCTGTGTTCTCTTACCCACAGATTGGCCGTGCCGAACTAGCCCAAGCACATCTGTATCCTGTGTTCTTGTTCCTAGGTGAACTTAGTTCCAGATGAAGTCCATGTTTTGGTGAAAAAACCTCTGTTTACGAGAAGAAACTCTCAAGAAGTCAGGATTGCACCTAGGTTATAACAACTGTAGGGGTATGATGGACGCTTCATTCCCAGAAATTAATTTGGTTTGCATCTACAAACAAGGTAGCATAAAATTGAGACAGTAGTCTAAGTCAAAATATGTCACTAGTAGAGAACATTCCATCACTCTGCTAAGTAACCGCAATGTAAGATGAAAGGCATTTCGACTCATTTAAGGACATTAATTCCTTACTATAAACAGCGAATTCATAGGAATAAGTCATTGACACTAACTGTTAAATACCCTAGTAATGGAAAACAAGATTCCGCATGGAATAACAAACTTTGACCTTAAAAGCTACTACCTTCCCTTTTCAAGGACGTTGCGCAATCAAATCGCTCAGAAAACCCTTTCAATATGAAAAGGCTGGCTTACTTCTATGTTCAGCTGTAAAGCATCGAGCGTTTCGCTCCAGACAACATGGCACACCGGGTCGACCTGAGCAGCCCCGGATGCTACGACTCCAGAGGTGACGATGGCTTTGAGAGCCTTGTTCTTGCTGTTCCTGTTCTTGCTGATTGTGATTCTCAAAATAGCGCTGATGGAGGTCCTGAAGCCTTAGTGTATCCAGAGTCGACGCTGTTGCAAACCCTGTAGCTAGAGGCTGAAGAGAAAATCGACGCAATATTGAAACTCCTAATTATTTTGTAGTGGAAACTACAAAATACAAAGCAAAGTAAAACTAGTTGAAATATTTTTTAGATAGTCGAAGCATCCCGGACTAAACCTTGAGGTCATGACGACGAGACAGAGAGATATGTAAGTTCACATATGGAGAAAACGAGAGAGATCCGTACCACTGATTAATACATTAACGAAAAATTATGCGTGGCATAAATTTCGGTGTAATCTCCCTTGGAATTGAGAAAAAGAGCAGATTTATAAATTTTCCTCCTCGAAGTCTATTTAATGCATTCGATGTAAACTAGAGGCTATCTTAAAACGGCAGAGCACAAGAAAGCACTCGGATGATTCAAGTCGAAAACCCTTTTCACAACTGATATAGAGAATGAGCTGTGTAGGCATGCTAAACAAATGTTTGCCTGAAAAATAAGTGCCCCTTCCAGCTAGTTAAGACTACAACAGTCAACATGCAGCTGGGTCACGGAGAAAGGGTGGACAACGGGTCATTGTATGTTTAAATTATTGAGAACAGTGAGTGAGAGAGGTAAGAAAATGGAACGGATATGCCATGTGGTCAGACAATGAAATGATGCAACTTTTACAATAGTTTCGAAAATGAATGCTATAGTGAGATTGCATTAGAAGGAAATAAGGAAATATTATTTGTAAGGGTTCGAGATGGGATTCAGAATGATTAGACTGTCCTTCCAGACCTTTGAGTTAACAAGATATCCCACAATCAAAAAACTGAAATCAGCTTCCGAGCCTTAGAATGGCATCATTTGATCAAGACCAATCCTGCTGTTCAACTGTTCTGAAGGTCCCATTTGCACTACCAAGACACCTGCGGAGGATTCAAAAGCCTCATTAACTTCACAGTTGAATGAAGCAAGAGAATGCTCGATGAAGGCCAGCAACCGTATCGTTTTTGATACATAAAAACTGTCGTCTGATTTTGCTACTGAGGCCATTGACGATTTAAGTGAAATCGAACTGGCTCGAGAAGTAGGAAGGACTTCCCATCGTAAAAAGGAAACCAAAAAAGGCGGAACACAGAATAAAGTGATAAAGTCAAAGTAGCACCTTAAATTCATTTTTGCTGTCTTCGATCCGAGATATGTCACCTTAAAAAAGTAAATTAAAAAGTGCAAGCCTAATCAGTACAAAGGCGCAAAGTAGACTAAGGTAAAAAGTAGGTCATTTACATCGTTTACTTTTCAACAACATCTTTGTACCGAACAAAAAGACCTGGTGATTCGGTAGAAAGTAAACAAATGTATCTACAGACAATGAGGCTACCCTGCCTCACCGGCAAAGCAAACTAGTATACCCAAAATGTGAAGACGGTTGGCAGGTTTGAAGTCCTGCAGAATTCTCCCTACAATTTGCAGGAAGTAGAAGTGGATTTGCTTAAAATTATCATGACCACACTAAAATTAAAGCATTTGATTCTATCTACCTACCCAGTTTGGATTAGCAATAAACTTCTACCCCCAAAATAAGTATATCTTTCTAGAAGCTACAATTGAAATGGGTGGCGATTATAAGGGTGATTGGTGATACCTTTAGATTCAATTCTCGGTGCATCGCAAGACATTCTACTTTATCAGTAGGAACAAAAAAATAGAAACCAATTCGTCTCAGAATGAAGAAGCATAAAGGTTCAAATATGACTATTTGAGGGACAAACTGATACAAGCTGTTATAACGTAGACTTGATGAAATTATGTAACAAAATTGTCACCTTAGTTAACATACGTCGTTTATTGCGAGCGAGTAGAAATGAGAGTTTGAAAAGGTGAGGAAAAAATAAGCTCAAGATATTTTTTCGACTATGTGATCAGTTAATGATAGCCCTGTCATGTTTCCTCAGAACGTCATTAAATTCACTCAAGGATAACTACAAACCTCAAACCTTTCCCCTAGGAGTTGTGCATAAACAAAACTAAGGTAGAGCTTGAGTGAACCGAAGAGAAATTTTCCGATTGAATAACTCTTAGCATCTGATAACCTAGCCCAGAAGTGTGAAGTTTTAATGTCGCCATTAAAGAGGGTGAATAAGACCACTCGAAAGGTCAAAGATTCAAAGGTCATGGAGAACCTGATTAACAAGTAAGCTTTTGCCTCCCTTACAGTACGACTTACTGTCAAACATTACATTTGAATGTCTAACCACCAAAAAGAAGAGTGAACACATAATGATGGACGAGATCTGCAGAGGGGTTACAGTAAATGCAAGATTCCAGCCCAAGGAGAACCTTAACCAGTTCCAATTTCCTTGGAAAGATGATCAAATCCAAATACCACAAACAAATAATCGATAAAGCGTGCTGCTGCTAACTCCGTTAGTGGATGAACCGCAAGTTATTCACAGTTGATGAAAGCGATGCTTTAGAGTTTTGCCTTTGGCCAATGGGAAGAAATTCAGTTAACTGCTTCTCCGATGCGCCCCATCAGTTATAATATAAACTGGTAGTGTTTGAAATTCGGGTAAGGCATTTTCCAAATTCAACTTGTCTGCCAGAACAGGGATATTCTCTCAACGCATCGCATTACTGTAAATTCGGCGTAGTAGCGACATGACAAGTCCGCCAGACAGTTTAAAATGTTCCCACAGTGTCCAAATTTGATTTCGAGTTAGAGCGGTCTTGGAAACCATGCCAAGTTTCACCTAGTCACCACACTTTTTGGAAAACCTTGCAGATATAGACTGCCAGATACATCTACCTAAAAAGGTAAATCCAAACTAATGTGATAACTTCATATTGACTACTGTGATTTTGTATCAAGGCTGAACAAAGCTCGAACCCAAGTCCTATGTTTAGTTCCCAAGCTCATTATGGCCTCTCACAGACGTTAAGAAAAGGGTCCATCGGTGTTACCAACGTACACATATCAACGCGATTTACCTTTACGCAGAGAAGGGTACTCAAATCAATCAATAATCTTTTCAGCAAGATAAATGTGTCAGACATTTAAGGCGACAACATTACACCTCGCTATTTAGGTTCCGATCAGCTCCTGTCCACCTGGACGTATGTTCATGGTTAAGACTGCACAGCAATTGTTAAAGCAAAAAACCACCTCTTCTCCATTCCAGGGCCATTCTTTCGCTAACACTCCTGCGATGACGCAGTTTTATAAAGTAAAGTGGGAGAGGGTGGGGAGAAGATGGGAATGACAGTTCCTGAAGGCACTTAACCTGTTAATGGATGGAATGAGCATCAGTTGCATTGTTGCCGCTACTACTTCTTCCTCCAAGTCGATATAAGTGTGAGGTCACTCCGTAAACTAAACAAGCTTCGAAGGTCTCTTTCACATACCGTTCTTTGTAATCAAAATTATAGTTGCACAGAAAGTAACGAAGTTAATTACCTATTAAAGCCTTAAGGCTTAATGTTACATTCCACAATAACGCCTTTAAACGCTACGCATCTAGTGGCACCAGAGGCCTTAGAGTACTCATAATCAAATTCAATTTAGCTCCCAGAGTAGACGTCTATCGGCTTTTGCGATAAGAACAGGTTTGAATTGAGGCAAATGATAGGCAAAGTAGTAGAGGGCAATGTTCCGATGATTCGGTGACATATGTGGATGCTTGACAATGCATGAATATGAATAATCAGCTTTAGAGAAGAATGGCAAGCCATTAACTCAAACTACACGAGAAACCGGGCTAAATGTTGACTCAAGGTTCCGAGTTGCCCATGGTGCTTATCCTGTTTTTACGAACAAACCTTAGATGAAACCACAAAGCCATATCATCAGCTGATTGGGAACGCTAATTACAGTCACAATATTCATGTGCATGACGTGAACTCATCAAAATAGTCAAAGATAACTCGCCTCAACAGAAGCCATTGCCAAACCCTGTTTTCGATTACCCTGGGTGTCTACATCCGCTTCATTCTCGAGCACACGCTCCTTTTCCGTCTCAAGGAGGTGCAATGATGGTGACAAAGGAACCATTTCTCCACTCTCTGACCTCACTGCCTCATCCGCAAACAAGCTGTCCAGTCCCGGTAGCGCTGCAGAGATGAACCTCGCCACGATGGTTCGCCGAAACCACGACTGGGTGTTCTGTGTAGTTGCTGTTGGGCTTGCTCTATCCCTCTCCATTACTTCTGTCTGCAATGATTCGATCCTTGGTGGATTCGCTTCGGCATCAGGAGACACCTCAGCTACAGTCTGCATAGCCGGAGCGGAGCGAAATCCCCGGACTGTTCTACACTCTGAAGAGTGTTTTCTGGGCGACGAGGACTTTGAGGAAGAAGAGGAGGAGGCGGAGGAAAAGGAAATGTGATTCCCTCCAGAGAGGTAGACGAAGAGATCGTTGTCGACTGCTCAAAAAGAGGGCGGACGGGTAATTCAACCATGCGAATTCTCTTAGCACTGTATGTTATAACCGCGGTCTTCGTAGCATGACATTAGAATTCCTAAAGTAGTCTAGTATTCGTATACTTAAGGTTAAAATTTAAGTGGAATTCTTCCACATACTAAAATTCCCAAAAAAAGTATTTAGACACTACAGTGGGTTTTGTGGTAAGTGGATGCAAGGAAATGGGGAAGTTGCCAAAGGTGACGCGACCCCTAGATGGCTGACTCTGCTATGGAGTCTCGACGGGTCTTGAGCAGCAAAAAACCTAATGAACCTCCGGCAGAACCCATTACTGAGGTCACAATTCGCCAACTTCTCACTCCAATTAAGTTGATGCATAATCGTCGTTTCTGGCTCGTGGAGCATCTGCACAGATGACTGGTTATGGAGAATGCCGATGACGCCATCCAAGAGAAGAAAGTCAATACGACAAATCTCACTAGAATCCTTGTCAGCTTCATGCCTTTTTACATACTTAAGGTTCTTTTCGGACTCACATTGTTCATGTTGTCCACGAGGAGGATTAGAGCACTACAGTGATAACATCGATGCACAACTTAAAACCAAACGTCAATCAATCCAATTTTGATCAGACCCTACATCCAAGCTTAGTTAAAAGGACGAGCTTAATACGTCCAGGAAGGGGGATCAGTCAAGCACCCTATACAGTTATAAAACATTCAGAAGAAGTGGAAGAACCTACGATCCTGCGTGAGATTAGTATTGCTTAGCACGGGATCCGGTGGAGTGCCATTGAAGAGGTCGCCAGTGGGATCTGTGTTAGTGCGTAAAGCAGCGAAAGGCATGTCCTGCAGAAGTTGAGTGAGGTAGCTATAACTGGTACTCCGACTGCAAGTACTCTCCTGTTGATGAACACAGTCCATTTGTTGACTGCGACGTGAAACTGCCTCAGGAGAGATACAACCTGAGGTACAGTTGGTTCGCCCTAGGGGACAGCGTTGAGCTTGAACCACATCCAAAGCGTAGAGAATTGCGTCCCTATAACGCAGTATTTTGACTAGCTAGACCTCATTCGCCGAATCCTTTCTTTGCAAACATCCATAGTATTAGTTGACCTTTGCTAGATTGAGCGATCATGGTTTACCTTGGCTTTTTATTTACTCAAGGAAATTCCACCAATAATAGTAGTAGCAATAAATGAGGCCCCAAAAAACAAAATCTTCCTTTTATCCATCCTAAATTCTTCAAGGACAGATTCCACAGTATGAAGCTAATCAGCCCTGATTATCGTAAGCATTTCAAACAGATATCAGATAATAATAATCCTTGGGCTGTATTGAGTGGGTAAGCCTCAATCATAACTTCCTGGCTCCCGGCAGATGGACGATTTCTTTCTCAGACTTGGAAAGGAAAAGTGGGACTGGTAGGCAGCAAACCGTTCCGGAATGACCACAAAGCTATTTTCCATCATTCGAAGAGCGTTAAAATAAAAACGAACCCGAGCACTTTTAAACACAAATTGTAAAGTTTTAATTCATAGGTATTATCGATGCCTACAAATGTTAGATGGTTGAAGGCCTTTTGCCTTCTAGCTTCCACGGATATCTCCTTCAAGTATAGAAGCATTTCAAGCCCGATGCTCCCGACTGCACGTGGCCAACAACAAAACCCTTTTTTAAATTGAACCATTAATGAGCCTCATTCGAATGTTATGCTCTAAAGATCGGACCCCAATTAGTTCAGAGAACAGACGACCCCTAATCTCATCAATCAGAAACGAGAGACAGCCTTTGATGGAGAAGGTAGATAAAAAGAAGTGAGAAGTGAATAAACATGTCAATAAGCTACCAAACACGTCTAGAAAGTTCGTGTATCCCAACCGAAAACTGCATGAACTCTTAGTCGTCAAGATCTTATAAGTTATTCTATATACTAGATCAAATAGTTAAACTGAGCAAATTCGAGCTCACAAAGGATCAGTTAGTCCGGAAATCAGAACTCTCACTAGATTTCCAGCTTAAATAGGAATGCTGTTAACTGATATGGTGATGAATCCAGAAAACTTGCTAAAGTTCCCCGATTTGGGGTGGAAAACAATGAGAAAATATCTGCAACGCCTAAATTCACAGACTACATTTCATCCAGAGACCAATGCTCTTGTTGTTCCACCCATCCGTGCAATAAAGAAATTACCTCCCAAATTTTCTTAAATCTTTAACAAATAAAAGCTGTTGAGCCCAAAGACCAGTGATTCCTTGGAGTGAAGGGAATTACGCGCGCATCTATAAGCCATTCCTGATGCAGAGTGACCACAGTACTACAACTGCCCGATGATAGGAGGATTTGGTGGCAAACCGCGATGCCATTCTTCTCAACCTACCTGGTCGCGTTACGCTGATATCTAGAAATAGGAAGAACAGATGACGTTACTTCTAAGAAGTGCTATACTGATAGAAAAACGAAAACGGGAAATCAAATTACTTGAAGTGTTTAACCCATTTACAATTCGAAAGAAAATTACGAAACTCAAAGAGGATATCGGATGAGTGTAATGCTGGAAAGACATTGATTTCAATAGCTTGAGCAATAACTGATAAGGAAAATGCATTCCAGAAAGTCCACACCACCAAAATGTTAATATGCAGTTTGAACAAGGGGGATCGACAAAAACATCGCGCTAGTCCTTCAAAGGTCTGAAAAGTAACAAGCTGAGATCATATGGAATTTGGTAGAGCAGCTGAAAACGGGCGGATAGAATGAGGAAGAAAGTGCAAAGAAAGCATGGAGATTCACTGATTAGTCGCTTTAACACAACACCATTGACATAATGCAGCATTGAAAAAAAATTTGATTCAGCACATCTTGGAAGGGTTAACTTCCACGCCCATAGCAAGAACTCCATTGTTCATCGAATGATTTTCACAAGAAGGTCGTAAGTTCACCAAATCTATCTCTTCAAACAGGCAGTTTGAAATAAAATCCGCTGAAAGGCAGAGCTAGAAATGAATAAGAGTCCAATCTAAAGTTCATTTACGGATTTTGGCCATTAGCTTTCAACCCTTAAACAACCCAAAAGCTGCTTAGTATAGGTGGCGCCTTTGACAAAGGAGATGCAGAAAGAAATCGTAATATAGGTAAGCCCAAAGGAAGGCCTTAAAAGTATCTAAAAGGCTCAATATGTCGAAAGCTCTTAGTCTTCGTACAGGCTGTGGTTCCGAATGAGAGAACCAGAACTCACACATTGAATTCGTTTTGGCAGAGCCAGTGGCGTGGGGAGAGCCCCTCTGCGTCGGTGACGTTGGGGTCCGCCTCGAAGGCTATTAGTGCATAGACGATGTGCACGTCCTGACAGCGCTGCAATAGAGAGCACAAATGGATGTTATTTTCTTCTGTGGTCATTATCAACGATATTTCATGTTAATTGGGGCATAATTCATAAGTGATCATGGTCTATGAAATTAAGACTCGGTAAAACTCCCAACACCTAACCTTCAGATAGGGTTGGAACACGTTATTTTTGCTGAATTGTTCAAGAGTATTCTGTCCCAAGCCCACTTCTCCGAGCGCTCACTAGGGAACTGAACGCACAAGACAGCTTCCTTCGATTACGTTGATCAGTCCAAGGGCAAGAAAGTCCAAAATTCAATGCGTTTCACCCGCAAAAACAAATAAGGGAGACTCAATCCAGTTGCCAAGTTTTTGATTGACACAACGCAAAAACAACAAAAGCGTTTGATACATCGTTGAAATAAAAACTAATACGGCTAAGAATCAAGGCAGAAATCGCTGCCATCGTGACAGAGGCTTACTTTCGCTAACCCACAGCGGATATTTCAGGGGACCATAAAGGTGTAAATAACTAATCAACGCCACAGAAAGCTAATAATTCTCACAAATGGATACGAGGAAGGTTTGCTAACAATAAGTAGGTGCCAAGTTTGGTGCGAAGCTATGTCGAAAAAGAGGTGGCCTCAAATAATATGTTCTAAAAAATATGAGGCATTAAACAACACCATTTTATCGGAGTAGGAGCGATTCGCCTTTTAGCCAATCGCTGTATTTGCAGAGGATTCAAAAATGGAACAGTGAGACGGAACCAACCTAAGCATCCAGGTTCTTTGACTACTCTTGAGCTCTCTGAGCAATTCGAATCAAAGACAGCCTGACCGATGTGAAAAAAAAGAGATGATGGGAAAATATGCGACAATTCAAGTGCTATGTCCATGAGATTTTAAATGTGTGAATGATGAAAATCACATTTCACTTCTAGGTAAAGCCTCTCATCCAGTGAAGGGAAATTAGACCATTCGGAACTAGTGAAAATTCAGTAATACCTTAAAGAATAGTAAAGGACTTTGTAATGTTCTTTACTAATCTATTTGGAAAAAAATTAGCCCAAAATCCCGATAGATTATGCGCTTATACAATACCATTAGCCAATACGCCCTCTGGAAGGGGTGTCCCTCAGAAAGAAAGGATACGCAAACCCCAGGGCACCTACGAAGACGAGGTGACCAGAATAACTCGCCATCATTTGTATGCTTGTGAAGTGTTTTGAATGCATTAAGTGGCTCCAACATACTGGAAACTACCCATTGTAAGAACAGAGTTGAACTCTAGTTAGAAGCCACGGTATTTCATAGCAGCATTTTTTTGCTAAAAAATAAAAAATAAACACAATTGTACCCCTAATTACATTGGTTGCAGCTTGCAGGCATGCTTAAAATGTATGATGAAAGTGTTGAAAATTACTTAGCCCATCTTGGAAGGAGTAGAGAAAGGCAACAAGCAGATCAAATTCATGAATTAAGCTCTAATAAGAAATGATAACTAACACGAATTCATTTAATTCTCGCTTCACAACGCACCATGAAAGCATAGTACTAGTAAAAATATGACTGATTGGCTTTTAATGAGGGATGACCTCTATTTTATTGGGGCATGTGTTGAGCAAACGAGCAAACTCTCATTTGGGCATATCATACTATACCTCTTGAAGCCAAACGAACAAAAGTGCTAGCATCTAACTAAGAAGTGAACTTACTTATTTGGGTGAAACGAGCTAGAAAATAACTACCACAAGCCTCTCTCAAAGACCCTGTTTACACTCTGCATTTGACCAGACCTGTCTAAGTGTCTCATCGGTTTTCTCGGAGATGACTTGCCATTAAGGCATCATACACAAAGGAATTATTCGAGGTCTCTCCTCGCTACGTCTGGCGTTTGATGTCCCGCAAAAATGTAGGCCATCACGTTGTGATACTTTCATAAGTCATTAACGCTTCTCCTTCACACATTGTTGCTGCCAGCCGTCTAGTCATAGTTTCTTAACTTATGAGAGAGGAAGAGGATGCAACTGAAAGACCATGTTTAGAAGGGAACCTCATCTATCTACGTAGTTTATGAAGCAAAGACGATAGCGAAATAAGTTAGCGTGATTATTCTGTGACAGTAAATCCCAAAATTGCAAGAGGTCTTCCACAATCTTCGATTCGCTGAAATCGGCATCATTCGGTTCTACATTCCTTTTCAAGTGATATGAAACATTGATGCGAAATAAGAATACAAACCAATCGTGGCTATCTATCATAATATTGCTTCCCAGCTGATATTGATGGTAAGAGGGGATTGCGATCCCATGGGCAGCAGTCAATGGACTACAACAGAAAGAGCAGCATCTACTCCTATTCTGAGGTAAAAACCTTTAGTAGAAATACTTAGAATTGAGTTAAAATTGCCTAGTAAAGCAAACAAGATCAAGCAACATTTAATAAAATAAGGATAGTGATAGAATCATACATCTCTGCTTTTTGCAGGAATACTAGATTTACGGGACAACTAAGCCAAATACCAGAATTTTACTATTAAAGAATTAAAAAAAGTTGAGTATGTGCTGAAACAGCAAAAAGGGATAGCGTACGTGCGCTGAGAACACGAACAAGAATCGACAATAATTACCAGAGGCCGTGGTACACTTGCACTCGTTGGTCTTATGAAACCGAATTTCTGCTTGACGCGTTATAGAAATTAAAAGCGAACGAATTGAGGGCCACCTTAAAAAACGATTAACACTCTTTAACTTCATGTTCATTATCCACCAATGTTCACACAAAATACACGGCACATAATTGTGGTTTAGTTCACAGCACTGCTTAATTGGTGAGGGTTGTTCATAGGACAATATGCAATTTGCCTCAGCCAAATCTACACTGCGTAGTACAGTGTCAAGGAGTGAATATATTCAATTGGATCAATAAAAGGACTTTAGGAAATGACATACACTCCGACTAAGTCAGATGACAGCCTGTCTGGTCTAGGGAGAGTAGATGCAGCTTAGCTTCAGTATTTTGTAAATCCGCCAAAATGATGAGGCACATACCGCGGCAGCTAGATGGAGAGGATAAACGCCACGGTTATCCGTTACATTGACCTCGGCTGCATGAATGAGAAGTTGCATGACGGTATCGAGATCCTGTTCGTACACTGCCTGATGGAGCACAGTACGTCCCTCAATATTTTGGAGGTTTGGATCGGCACCCAGTTCTAACAGATGCTTGAACATCTGTGGTGGAAGGAGCGTTAGACTACAAGTTAGCTCTACCTCACCACTCACTAACTCTATTGCAGAACATGTCCGAAACTCAAAGTCCAAGTAAAAAGACCTAAACAACATCAGATAACCTTTTTGAAGCACAATTGCCTCTCAGTAGTGCAGTGAAAAAAATTGAAACGATGCACATATAACCTAACACTTCTATATTCACATTGGATATTGAGAGGGAGAGAAGTGCACTGAGTAGTGACTGCTGATTAGTTTGATGAGAGCAGAGAATTGGTACACGGTAGGATTTTGTTGCACTGCAGACTCGTAAAGGGGAGAATGCGTACGTCACGAGGAAGTAATGCCGTATAATGCTGCCAATGTTAAATATTTGAAGTACAACAAAGCAGAAACTCATTGCTAATAACGCCTTTGGAGTCGGACTCATTTATTAGTTGGAACATTCCGAATATAACAAATGAGAGACAAAGACCTCTAATTCGGAGAACAAAAACTCACTTGTTTCTTCTTCGCGATATGTAGAACTGACAATTTTTTGTCACGCGTTTGGAGATTAATCACGTCTGGATAGTAATCGCACAACAGGTCCACACAGCTATGGGAAAATGGTGCGAATAAGAATTAAAGTAACTAAAAAGTTTGTGGATGGTTGGAAAAAATTGCTTTAAATTCCTCATTTGCGGCAAAAGCCGAAACCAAAAGCAAGTAATCCAATACTCCCCAACAGGAAAAATTTGGTATTCATTTCCGCCCCACCTATCTCCACTCCTCCATCTCATGCTATTTTAATTGCATCATTTTCCACGCAGAAATGTAATTGTGAATGACCAATACCACTAACGGAGGAGGAATACTGCTTCTTCTACCTCCTTTGAATGCGTTTGTAGGCCATCTTCGCCTCAGCATAGCTCAAGCGCTTAATTGGAATGGCACTATGACACAGTTAAGGTGCAGTTAAATGCAACTTACGTCTAAAGACTGGAGTTCAATTCGGCAGTGCGGAACAATCAGTTGAATTAAACGACCGTAATTTTGGGAACTAGTCTCCATAGAAGCTTTCAGAATTATACGAATCTATAACAGCAAATCCGAAAAGGAAATCTCCAAGTGCGTAGGTACGTAACGAGCGGGTACATTATTGCTGAACATCGTCCCGCATTTTGCGACTTGGACCAGATAAATGGTTACAAATGGTTTAGTACTGTATAAAAAAATGATCTATTAAGGATTTCTACTCGGATATCAGAGGGTTATGGCCTTGTGCCGACCTTGACAGTTTAAACTCCCATTCTATTTGCATCTTTAAATGGTAAACGGGGTATAAGTTACCAATCCATGTCAGAGGGCAGCAAAAACAAGCTAAAACCAAACTAAATAATTCCAAATTAATTCATGCTTAGTAGATACCTGTGACTCTTAATGTTCTGGTGGCTACTTGAGGCTGCTAATTTTAACAGCCGCTAAGAATAAAGCCAAAAACTCGAGGGGATTTCACCAATGTAATCGCTGACGGTACTTTTCACATTCAATTGGTCTTTGAACCGAACAACTCAGCGTCATCTGCTTTATTTCTGCGCATTATCTTCCTCATAAACCAAACAGAGGCACAGGAGATAACCAAACATCTCAACTAGTGGGATGAAATGATGCAAGAGTTTGTAAGGAACAAACCATTCCCAAACTATAAACGTACAATTTTATCAATCAATGTAAAACAAATAAATAAGTTAGAGAGACACTATGATAAAAGTAAATGGTGAAAAATCCCATCCTCTGAAATTAATCGCACCTACTTACATTGTTAATGCATAATGTCTCAAAGAGCAAGTGAAGTAACAGGAGCCGTCTCTCTACCTACGTCCTTCGCATTCATTAATCGTGAAACTTATTCCGCATGTGATTGTCAAATGTCAGTCCCAAGGCCGAAAGAGGTGGTGAGCATCACTTTGAGAAAAACCATTTGAGGAATGCTGAGTAAGAGGTAGTAATTCCTCCCAACTCCACAAGGCAGTTGCGTAATTTCCTCAAGAGTGCTTTCGCCAATGTTATGATAAGTGGAAATAGAACCTAGTGCAGTAGGCCTAGATATTTCTGGTACAATGATAAGGCAGCTCACAGATGTAGTTTAGTTAATCCTCAATTCAGCACAAAGACATCTGAGAATAGAATAAAACAACTCTTGGAAGTGTGGGGTAGGAATTGACTGGGCTACTAAGAGCAAATTTTTCATCAAATAGACGGTTGCAGATAAAGAACTTTCATTACCACAGCTGTCGGTCAAAAGAACACGGTTATAAAGGAAAGAAAAGAACAAGTTAGGATTTATATCCTGCTAGTTGTTGCCAATATACCTGACTAACAGATGTTGCAATGCATTCGCTCAGTAACTTTCCTTCCCAGGTGATGCAGGTGTAAACTAACTACCTCCCCACTACCCAATTACCATGGAGAAGATGACACAGTCCCCCCTCTTCCCCACCTAAAATAGGTGATTTTTCCTACTTCCTGAAGCCTATTTTGAGTCTTCAGCTCTAACGAAGCATTTTGTCGAAGTACCTCTTCTAAATCCCTAGCAAAAATGATGACGAGAAGTAACTTCCACAAAGTAGAGGACATCGAATCCCATCACTCGAAGTTAACTGAAATTTCATGCACGAGGAATTCACTACCGCCAAGTGGGTTCCGGTGAATTCACGCAAGTTTTCTCTCCTTTGTACTTCTAAAGGCCTGCAAATTATGATCAGAGCTAATCATTCCTTTCATATGCTCGCGCCTTCAACGTTCTAAAAGTTACCCAATTTTGATGATCCATGCGTTCCCGAACTTTTCATGGCGTCCCGAAGATGCAAGAATCGCCATCGTGTAATACCACTTTCTTACTAATTAATATGGGTTTTGCCCATAAACGCCAAAGTGTTTTGAAGCTAAGAATCACCGCAACTTACCAAGATCGATCTCTTTCAACCGCGATGTGGATTGGAAGGTAGTCAGCTGTGCCAACTCTTGGATTGGCGCCAGCTCGAAGTAGCGTCGCAACCACTGCCTCAGATGCCTCGCGGACGGCCAAGTAGAGCGACGTTTCGCCAAAAGCATTCGTTGCGTTGATGTCAATGCGATTTGAGTTCTTGAAGCCTGTTGTCTGGCACACAGGGAAGGAATGGATGACCGAGTAGCTACCGTCAATTGTAGATGGTTCGATGTCTAAGAGGATCTGCAGATTTGAGAAATTAAGTGACATTGAACCCTAACCAAATTTACACTGTTAATGGCGTGAAAAAACTCTTGAAATGTCAAACAAAGATAATTTGACCTTTCCAAAAGTTCAGTATTTCAACTTCGAAAAGTGATGATGGTCGGAGGGGACGCGGACTGGTAGCTTTCTAATTAGCCTACCTACGGTGGTAAGATAAGGTAAGTGAATTAATGATTTGGTGCGAAAAATAAGATGAGCTAAAACTGTTGAGCCAGATAGGGGGGCAAAAGAATTAGGTGGCACTGAAAGTGGGGAAGAAAATGTCACGAAGATACAACAACTACACATTGGAATCATATTTAAAGAATGGATTAATGGATAGTGGGGCGGGATGGCACCAATGCAGTGTAAAGTATTGTTGTCTAGACACTTATGATATTCAAGATGTGAAATTAAACAAATCTTTGGAACCAGAGTGAGTAGATCAACTTAAAACGAGCATACCGACATAAGGGACGAAAAGCGTTTAATAAACCAAGTTTGTAGACCATTTATACGTCATTAAGGATCTTGAAAGCTGCGAAGAATATAACAAAGATGAAGGTAAAGAGGCACATCATTGAGCTAATAATAACGAATCTAGAGGGACATACGCTGAAAAGGGGTGAGGCGAAATGAGTTAGGTGTCGTTAATGAAGGAGAATGTGTGTTAATTTAGGCCTTACGGTAAAGAATTTATAAGATATTCCGTTAAAACACACCCACACGAGTGGCAACAGCAAGAGCGCATAAGGTTGAAGTATGTCATAGCAACGGCTGACCACTTAGCCGATCACACATTTCACCTTTCACATCTACGAGCTAATGGTATTGAATCACGTATGAATTAGCAAATGGTTGCATACCAGCCCCGTGGTTGGGATCACAGCCGGTCATCAAAAATACCATCCTCCATGTATCGAAGACGATGTGCTTAGGTAAGGAGGAAATCAGTAGAAATTACAGTGCAGGCATTTATATTGGGGAATGAGGGATTAAGTAGACGTAAACAGTGCATTCTAGCCATAATCCTTCACTTAATTTGCCACAGAAACAAATGGGAGTGCCGTTGTGGCAGTGGGTGGCGAGTGTATCCCCGCATTACTTCTAGCCAACACATTGTGCTGAGTAAATCCAGACAACAATGGTCTCATCTGCATCAAACAGGATAAAGTAAAGGACTTTTCCTATGGATGAAGATGGCTATCGGCACAAAGCAGCAATAAAAGGATCGGAAGCAAGACATCGACGTTTCAAAAACATTTGCCGCATTAAACGGTTGCTTCATTCTGGATAATCGAAACCTAAGCACTGGTGAAACTGCACAGGAGACGAGTCGTTTTGAGGGAACGGTAAGCACAACATGACCATTCACAGGCACCCGTGATTTCGAAGTCGACTCACAGTGGGAACCAAGAAAAAGGATGTAGAAGAATGTGTGCAGATTCCACCCTTCAATTAGTTTGTTTTCACAATCGTAAGTGTCGAGTTGGTACAACTATACCATGTATGCCATTGGATGGACCGCTATAAAAGATCTAATAGATTCCTACTTAAAAGCCAACAAATCCTTAACAATTTTAAACATACACCTAAGAACATGCCTTTTCTAATGCCACCAGAAAGAAAAGCCACAAAAACACGACTTCTAAGCATAAACAACTCGATCGTCCTGCCACTTTAACTTCAAGGATAACTAGGATTTGTGTTGATAGCGTAAGACTTTATCATTAATTTACAGATGCTTCACGACTAATGCATTAAGCTTTCACAGTGGTCACTATTAACTCCTCCTGTTTTCAGATTTGGCAGAAAAATGAATCTTTAGGGGACAGTCTACTAAATAGTAATGAACGCGGTGATGACGTTCATAATCAATGCTCACAGAAAAAACAGAGCCCACAAATGAAAAATACTTTACATGAACTACCCTCCAAAATAACAGCACTTGGTGCCATAATGAACACGGACAAATAAGATGAACCGCGGAAGATTCAGCGGTCTTAAAAGTGTGCAAAAGACAATCACCATTCATGCGTCTGTCAATGTCGGTAAGGTCACAGTGCTTCAACCACAACATGTAGTAAGGAGCGATGGAGCGCATGTACGTACGCACAGAGAGAGGGAGGAAGAAAAATAAGTGATTTTGGGTCCGAAAGAATTCAACACCGTCTATCAATCAGCATTCTGATCGTTTTGGATGTCACAGAATGAATGGAACAGCGTACTGATGCGAAAAAGCGTCTCAAATTGGCCTCGTACAACGGTGTGATTTACCGATCCTGGGAATTCAAGCAAAGTGGCCAAACAGAAAGTTAAATTTGGCTAAATGAGCCCTTCAGCTCCTATCGGCTATAACCTTCGTGTTTGCGACATGTCAGTATTTATAACGCAGTATATGTATCCTTAAGCGGATAATTTGAGTCTTAGCGTTGATAATACCAGTACCACTGATTTCTCATGGAACATGACCAGGGCCAGAGATTTGTCCCACTCTTAACCGCAAGTAAACTCACTCAAAGCAATGCAGGGTAGTAAAAAAGCAGAGCCCATGCGGTAGGAGTAAATTGGAGTACAATCCCAATCTCGTTAGGATAAACAGGGTAAGAGGCTACAGCAGTGAAGTCAAAAATGGCTCCAGCCCTCAGTGCCTACTAGCCAGGGTTGGAAACTTAACGTCAACATCAAATCCCCTACAATCAGGAAACTTAAGTGCAACACACATGGTGATAGATATGTTTGCGACACCACCGACTTTGCGAAACGCCAGTTTGACCAGCCCGCATATGAATTATAGGACAAGAAACTTCAATATGTCAGAGCTCGATGAGGACATTAAAATAACATGACTTGAGCCACATTTCATTTAAAATGGAAGCTGCCTTTAACACTATGACCCCTACCACAGGTAGTCTTGGTGCAACCAATGTGGCAAAACAGCTTAAATTTGGAATACAAAGATTGAGAAGTAGTCGAAATTGAAATCCTTCCCCAACCATACTTCGCTTCAGGGAAATTTTGTGTCTTTGATGTAAATCCAAGAAAGAGCTGCACTTAAGCAGTAGGAAAAAATCGTAAGAAACGACAGCCAGCGAACGGGAAATATCCCAGTCTGTTGAAATCGCAAACTTTCAACGGCGCAATATTATTTACCATTAACTTTGTGCTAATAAAACTGGCTAATGCTATATTAGAAGAAATGCGACTAAAACATTTGAAATCAAGAGCTCCCAAAACTGACTTGAATAAAAGTTTGAAGGATATCGTAGCAATTTATTTTTTTCCAAGCGTACTTGCACAACGAGTTCCAGTGAGCCGAAATTTTTTGACTTTCTGGACACTTTTTCTATCAGCAAGTGGGGTGATTTCGCTTGAAAATACAAATGAAAAACTTCAGATAAAAAGGCATGTTCCTATTCACTTAAAGTATTGGGCATAACTAAAAGAACTGCGCTAACCCTGGGGACTAGGTCTATGAAAAAGCATAATTGATGTGTGATTTGCCTTTGCTGGTTTTGCTTTTATCAGCCGACGGTGGACGACACTACCTGATAGTAAAGATAAGGGCGCCTTCTACTTCGATGTCCTCAACGGGATTTTCATGTTGATCTTAAGAAATGAAGACAGAGTGTGGTACATAAGGCGAAATGGTAATCCGTTATCGCGATAGAACAAACAAAGGAGTGCTGTACGATCGGTGACTGACCGGTTCCAACCTCAAAGAGGCGGTCTGAAATTACTAGTTTGGGACGGTGATCTTTTCCTATTTAAATACCTGCCTAAACTATGAGAACACAAATTTACCTTAAAATTATCACAGAAAAGACCGACCTTATAAAAGCAAAATCTCTACCTCGTTTACCGAGAAGTAAACACTTCCAAATTTCAAAGCTTATGGACTTAGAAAATTGTACTTGAATAGATCATGAGAGGAAGGATGAGCGGAAAGCGATAGAATTAAGCATTTTCTGCCACTAAGATCGAGGAAGGTAAAGATTAATTAACCTTAACAAGAGCGTTCCGATGCTTTTCAGAAGGCGTGGTGCACAATGATAAAATACTAACAGATTTGACCACAGTCTGAATCAGGCCATGACCAATGCAAGGAAGTGGGAGCAAGTGATTTGGATTAGCACTGGCGGAATCGGGGCACAGGGTCACATATGGCTTAAGCGACACAAAACAGCCAACATCAACGTCATTACAAATTCTATTCAGGCTTGCCTCAAGAAGCTCAATAGAATTTTTTTCCACAGCGACATGCAGGGCGGTCTTGCCGTCGGCGTCACAAGCATCCAGTCGAGTTTGTTTCAGGCTGAGAATTTTCCGAACTGTCTTCATACCGCCCATCTTTAAAGCAATGTGTAGTGGTGTTTCACCCGTATCATTGTCAGGCGTGTTTATCCATCTGTTGGTGGTGGATTGAAAAAGAAATAGCTTGATGGACCTTTCCAATCTATCTCAGATTAACCCTCAAATTACCCATCCTCCAGCCTCTTTGTGTGATTACCGTAAGGCTATCTTCGTGGAAAATTGGCTGAAAAAAAATTTTGCTGGTTTAATGAATGAATAGGATTGGCTCGTAAATACTCACGTGAATTTCGCATTAGGTTTGAAAACTAGGCCATCATGTGATGATGATGGCTGGCTACGCCAGTGCATTACATAAGGAGTCTGGATAATCGAAGTCATTTTCTGGGCGATTCCCAGTAAACTCACTTCGCAACATCATCATGATTGAGAGCTTCGGGGAAGTTGAGGCAAGCGGCGATGTGAGCAAAAGTCCATTTAGGATGACGCCTGCACATTGTCGTAACCTTCTCCAACCAAGTTTTATCCACTTTGACCTTATAAAATTCGCAGATTTTCGACATTTTATGCACAACTTCGGCAAAGTGCTTGAATGTAGCAATGCCATCATCAACGTCGCCCTGGAAACGGAATAGACTAAAATTTGTGTGAAAATGAAGGAGGTAAAGTCTAATGGCCTACCTGAACACTCTTCGTTCTCGAGAGGGTGTTTCACTAGAAGCTGCTGGAGGTACATATACCATATCGTAGTAATTTGCAATTTTGTAGAAAATGAATGAGTTATACAATTCTAAAACATGTTCACATCTAAATTAGGAGCAAAATTAAGCTAAAAAGGCAAGAGAATTACACATAGTATTCAGCTACGTATTGTTCATAAGGATATTCCTCTACCCTATTTGGGTGGATAGTATAAAGTGCTGTCTTCACAAAATTCGTAAAGTATGTCCCCAGACGCGACATTATCCCTGACAAAAGAATAAAAGGTTTGAAAACAGTTAACATTAAGAAACAAATAAACCATTAGTAGAGGGAAGATCTTCAAAAAATGCATTTGAGAAAGGAAGTACAAGGGAAATTAGTGTGTGAAACAAAGACAAACCGCTGATTAAACCCATTCGATAAGCCTATGAACGCCTCATCAATGAAACAAGCCACAATCTTAGTATAAATATGAGGTCACGTGATCAAACATAAATTGTAAAAAGATAAGAGTAAAATTGGCTAAAGCTATGGAAACTAATAAGGATAGCGTTCTTCAACTGTTCCCATACTATTCGCTTACATGAGGGGCAGCTTCGAAAACACCTAATATGATGCAACAGTGGGCTAGAGACCCGGATTAATGCAGCATGAACCAATGAGAGGGGAGGTTTGAAGGACTGTTAAAGTTTTAAAGCGCGATTAAATTGGACTAAATGCTGTGACACTCAGGACACAATTAGCGAGGATCAGTTTGCCTTACTTACAGTATGAAGGAATTTTTAAGGTTTATTAGGTGGGGAAAGGTCGAGTACTATCCCAAGATCTATAAATAAATGAATGGTCAATCTAAATAACAAATGATGACGGGGACAATTGAAATACATACGTAAACTCGAAAAATAATGCTCTTTGTAGTCATACTGCAAGGCTTGGCCAAGGTTATAAAATGCCCGTCAAGCAGGAAAATTGAATTTTCTGATTAAATCTCTTATGATCCCGGTCCTTTAAAAAAATTAGCTGAAGATTAGCGTGAGATCAAGACTTTGGCCTTTGCCGTAAAAATTTGCACTCTACAGCTTGCGTGGTGACTCTGCATAGCTGCGCTACTTCCTGCTGGATAAAAGAAGGCATCAAGTTGCCCTGGGTACATGTATTTCAGGCGTAATACACTAAAGTATTTGTTGTGACCGAAATTGTAGATCATAGGTGGACTATAAAAGTAAATGTCATAGCGATAGGACGGAATGACTATACCTCAGTCCTGATGTGGATGTAGACGCTCCCCTGCTCTTATACCATAGCTCTCACTCTCGTGAGAAGTTAAAAAATAGGTTATAATCAATCCATTTCACGAAAAATGTCAGATATGTATTTTGGTTAGGTTGGGCTTGGGCTATATTAGGATAAGAGAGGGAGGTTGGATCTTCGCTTAGTTCGAAGGTCAGCACGTTAGCACAAGGGTGAGATAAGTGCCAAGGTAAGTGGTAATCATGCGAATGATCGTATAAACAAAAGAGTACAGCCTTCTTCTCTCCACACTCTTTCCTCCTGGTTATATAGGATGTGGTTTGCTATGTGAGGCTTTGTTTATGTAACTATCTGACTTTTGGCGGTCACTTTAGGATTTGTCTAGCCCTTGTACAAGTGGGCTGGTCTATGGGCCATGCCCAGGCCCAGTTGTCCTGTTCTCTTCAAATCACATGTATTAAGCTGCGCTTACTGACTTCTTATACCGACCAGGAAGTCTTGAGATGCTGCATTCTATGCAAAGGTTTATTAAGTACACTAAGAGGTTACTAGCTAGGCGGAGACTTTTACTTTGACTTTTGATATGTCATCAAGCTACCCTTGGAATTAGTTAGGTTGAACTTCCCGTAATATATGCTAGATTGTTTAAGTGGACTTTTATAGGAGAGGGCGGGAACCAGTTGGGAATGCGAGTTACGTGCACGAGGACGGTGAGGATTCTCTCCCCAGTTGATATCTCCTATTCATCCCATCTGCAGCCCTATCCCCATTCTTCCTAATAACAAACGCCAAATAAATAATATACAATCTACGCTCGCTTGAAGTCCGAGGTTCAAGAGCAGGGAGTAGGTAGGCAGGCAGTTCCTACACTTCCGACTATCATCTGCAAAGCACATTTCAAACACCCAGTTATGTAGTGGAACGTGTCTACGCTTCTTCAATACCTTTTATATATGATGAAAACACAGTTAGGGTAAAAGATTCTTCTTTAAGTCTGACAAAGATGCTCTGTCTTCTTCTAATACACCTTATGCCAAATCCACATAATGTGTGGGTGTTCAATTTTTAGCTCCGAAATTAGCTCTATTCTAGCACTGGGAGACATTTCTCAAAATCAACGAAAATATAATGACCAGACATTATCAATATATTACAGGAGTTGGAACAGCCCAAACGGCCACCTCGGTAACAGCACGATGGGAAGGCATAAAACAGCCCTCCACCGGAACTGAGACCCAAAACTATGCTCTACGTATTACAATACCAGCATAGCTTTACCTAGTCATCGCATAAGAGTGATCAAATGGACTACCGGTAATGGAACTCGGTGGGAGAAGTTGGCTTTTTATCACAAAAATTCCGAGAGGTAAGCTTTTTACCTCGTTTTATCCTTTGTTTGCTGCATCTTCTATGCTCCCTAAGGGCGGTAATGTAACCTAGATGCTAACACGGTATTTATCAAAGCCGAGTGTTAAGCTATTACGGTATCACAAAACCCCTCTCAAATTCGAAGCGTAATCTAAGCCCTCGTTTTAGACATCACTTATAAGTAATCGCAATTCACGCATTGTTCTCGGTAATTTTATGGGATCAAAACCTTGATATTGATTAAATTGTGGGCCTAAGTATTAGGTGGTACTGATAGCTATGAGAGGCCATAATGACTTGAATTTCGATTTTAATGAAGAGAGACTGAATACACCATAATTCCTTGACAGTGAACATTCGTACTTGCCCTTCAGGACTACTTTAGTTTGACCCGAGACTTCCCATAGGATGGAAGAAGGCAGTAAGTTAAGCTGGATGCACATATTTCAAAGAGGGCAAAACAACTGGACCTGAACGTGGCCCGAAGACCACCCCGCGAGTACAAGGACCAGACCAATCCCAAAGTAACGGCCAAACGCCAGGTAGTTTCATAAACAAAGCATTACACATGCCAATTTTTATGTTGTTTGGGAAGAAAACATCGCAAAAAAACTTCTTACGACCATTCATAACCATTTTAGGTTTCGTTTCGTACAGTTTATCGCTAAGTACAGACGTTATATACTGTCCTGTAAAAAGACGTAGTTGTAATGCTTAGGTTACATGGCCGTTGGGCGAAGCCAAGGACCAATCTCTCCTTCCCCCCATCTACTCAACTTTCTTTAAGATGATATACTTCTACAACGCAAAGGGCGCAGATACTTCGAACGGAAATTCTCTAAATTATTCACAAAAGCAGGGTTGAGAGTGATGCCTGCATTTGACTCCACCTTGCCACTTGTTACACAGACAAGCAATTAACAAATGACGTGACACAAAGGTTAACCATCTCCTAGCTACATCCACATATAAATATCGGCGACGAAACTCGAAATATCCTTACATAAGGGATGGTGTTTAATTCCGCCTTCCTTGTTAAAAATCTGTTTTAGACTAGTGCACCAAATTCTAGTAGTAGGCATAATTGGTAATCAACAGAACTCCGCCATTGTAATTCTTGACCACAAAGTTGCTAAGACGGTCAAGTACAGTACAGATCGCGAACGCTGGTTATACGCGGGTTTCTTTGTGGCGCAGGACATATGATAGATGACGTGGGAGATGTACCAAGAGGAGAGCCTAAAATGCTGTTCACAAGGAAAGAGGGCCAATGTTATACTTTGTTAAAGCGACCACCTCAATCCCGACGATGACTCTAGCATTCGTCTTGCTCTTGTAGGCTCGAGCTGATCTTGAGCCAAGCCAAGATGCATGCAGTCAGCTTAGCTTAATGTCTTCTTCCACCTGATGAAAAGTCTTCAGGCAATTCAAAGGCAACGAATGGATGGTGAACTAAAATTTAAATGATGCCCGCAAATTTTAAGATCCGCAACTCATTACAAAGGTTTTTTATAAAATCCGAATGAAATTTATCCATTTATGCTTCTGTACCTGGTCCTTTGGTTACTGTACTTCAACATTTGGTTGGTAAACACTAATAATTGTATAATTTGAGTTTGTTTTTTAATAATGCCTTTTGGCCGAAATTAATCCTCACTTTTCGTGCAGTCTGTGAAAAAAAATCTACTATCCAATTTTGTGTTACTAATCAAATTTTGTCATTATCGTAGTACTTTGCATCATTATAAAAGGCAAACTTTCGAATTTTGTTTCGTGTTCTCGTGAGCTGGGCACAGATTTATGGTCTAATCCGATAAGCTTTTCACAATGTAAGTTAACTCCTTCGTCCTTTGATATTCCATTAAGCATAAATCTCTAAGGATATAGTAAAGCCCTATGGCTTGTGTCGTTTCTATGCGTAGCGATTGTAGATTTTTTAAAAATAATTTACAGGTCTGTAGTTTTAAAGTGAATTCTTTAATATAATTTAGTTTACGACCTAATCTTTTTAAATATTGTACTTACATGCAGGACTTATTTTGTTCCATATAATACAATTCGGGGCGAAACGGCTCCTTCTCAAAGATGGAAAATTAATGGAGACCAATTAAGCAGTCGTGTTTTCCAAGCAACTACGCATTTAGAGACCTTACAACCAACGGCTTCGAACGTTTCTTTTTTGGAACACGTGGCTAAACACTCTGGTGACCTACCTAATGTCGCCGCCACTTCAAGCGCAATTAGATCTGGTCTCGATTCAATTAACGTATACACCTAGTGTATTTTCATTTAATTTTAATTAAATACTCTGCTTCTCACGGTTTATATGAAACATCGGAAATTTCGATTGTGCTGTGCTTGAATTTTTACTTTCATTAAGAGTGATATGCTTTTGTGAGGCTAAGTTTTGCTTTTACATATTTCAGAACAAAATTGATACTTTATTCGAGACCGTCAGACGCTTGGAGCAGTCTAATCAACAGCTATGGCAAAGATTTAGTGGCCTCAGCAGCAACATAATTAAACAAAATTTGAAGGGAAATAACATCCTGTCCAGTTTTGAGGTACCTGATTTTGTGGAACAGCACAATGCTGATATTCGGAAGCAGAGCGCGTCATCACAGGCGAAAAGTCAAATGAGTTACCTTTACTCTTTTGATCCAAGTAAGAATCCGCACATTCAAATGAAAGGCCCGTTATTTTGTGTCACTTGTAAAAGTCGCTTTTCAGGAGGTCCATTTGTGACAAAAATCTCAAAGCTGGAACACACAAACCCGACGACTTATCAGTTTTCACCAACATTCTTAGAACCTGTCAAGTGAGACGTGCAAAGTTTTCATGATTTTCTTTGGAGTTGGGAGATGAAGTTACAATCGTTGTTTTGTAAAGTAGCACTCATTATGCCGATTAATAGTAGATTAGCTTGCATCTCCGAATCACCTACACGAATCCCACTACAATTTCTGCAAATGTTTTACTTTTACTCTTACCTAATTATCTAATCAAGGGCTGGATGGCTAGTTATTTTAAGATGAATGCTGTAACGATATTAAGCGCATCATATTTGCAAACCGTTTCTTTTTGATATACTGATTTAATACCTACTGTCAAACATAATAAAGTTGCCTACACTGTTGCTGTATGTTCTCTCTTATTTGGATATGCTCGTATTGTTACCTATTGCCCGTGCTTATATAGGGTTGCAAGAGATACGCGTGTAGATGACATCGATTGTGTTTATCTTTGCATCCGATTGTATTTAATTGGCAGTGTAAAAGTCTAATAAGACGGTTATTTGCCTTTTCTATGGATGGAATTTTATCATGTACAATATTTTTCAGTTTTAATGAGAACAATCCAGCTGTAAATGTCATAGCTCTGATATTGTTGTATAAAAAATCTTTAATCAAATTGCTAGTCGTTTTGCATATTTCAGGGCTTCCGCCATCGTAGCAGAACGCATTCAGCAAACATATCTTAATTTATCTTTGTGCAAGAAATCAATTCACAGAACTTGAAGGCTGTTGATCACTTTGCTGGTCCTGCAGTGACTGATATCTAGACACATTTGGCATCTTTCTACCAATGATCTTCCTTGCGTTAGACTTTATGGATGGCGTCTGCAAGGCGCAAGTACTTAAATGTTTACCAAAGCTTGCATTCTTAAAAAGATAAGGTTTGCTTATCAGAAATATGCTGAGTTTGAACATGGTGTACTTCATTCCCTCTTCAAAAGCTTCTCGTAACAATTTTTTTGCTCTGCTCTCCTAGGAACTTCTTATTCATTTATGCTGTTTTTTCCTTCTTTTTTTTTATTGCCCAGATCTGATGAGGCAGGAGCTACTGGTCATTGCCCTCGAGGTATATCGAAGTACACACAAATAAGGGAACATGTCGATGGTGTTTACCCACTGAACACCTCTCCAACACCAGTTGAAAAGGAGAGCGTCGCCTTGATGCCCCTAGTTGAGGGGCCAGGTTCTATTTCAGGTGAGCTGTCTTACCTTTGATAACGCCTTGGTTAGTCAAAGTAGAAGGATCGTTATGCATTTAATTCTTTACAAACATTTCTTCCTTTGTTCACAAACCGCTTTCACCGTGAAAGTTCTCTCCCCCCTTTTTTTAGAGCCATGAAGGTCGAATTACCGGTTGAATTAACCTGATTGCATTATTTACTTATGCTCGCATTTAACTAATATTTATCCTGAAAATCCACTTCCTAGCGATTTTCTGACTGGTTCAATAAAAAGCTGCACAATTTCCTAGACTGGCTGAAAATTTTCCCGAGCATTCTAATGTGTAGAGTAATGAGTTCAGTGTTCCTGATTTTATTGTTCCGATGGAAACTAGGTAGGTCGGATTCTAACATGGGATGGATAGATTTTGGCTTTTACTTTGCAAGGCTCATATTACAACAGATCTGATTGCATTCCAGTCGTATAAAGTATGAAAAGTAATTTCCCTGATCATTAGCATTCTTTTTCCTTAAGATACTGCTTCCCCACTTCCAACGTGTAGACAGGGCCAAAGGTCTGTTTCTGTTGGAACTATAACAAGGTTTGATTCGCCAAACAATGATTTCATTCAGTCTGGGATCACAAAAAACACTTGTGATTATGTCAAGGTGAGCCCGCTTTAGTTAAATTGCAAGCCCATACACAAAATTTCAGTGGATTTAGTGGGTCATGAAGTGTGTAAATGGAATGATAAATAAAATTAAAAAGTTTGATAGGACTAAGCATACTGTATGCATCCTATTCAAAGCTTTCCATCCTGCGAACGCATCAAACGCTAGAGCTTTCGAAATAACCTAAAGTCAGGTCGTTACGGTTCCTTTAGCTTATGGGAAACAATGGTCTTTTCAGAAATTAAACTATTCTCAGAAATGAACATAATTCTTTTCCTTTCTAACCGTATTTTTTTATCCAAAGTTTTTGCTGCAGAGCGAGATTTTAGCAGGGGATGGTGACTCACATGCGTATGCTATATACTGCTTATTGCTCTTTCAAAGGACAAGTCTCAAAGTATTGGCCTTTTAAATATTTTTTGGAATGTAAGGCAAAGTTTTTGATTTCAAAATGGAGTCATTTAGCTAGGATTTTTCGCTGTGATGGGATGAATTTTTTTCATGCAAAACATATTAACATTGGATTGGGGTCATTTAGTGAACATCCTCTTTTATCCAGTCGGTTTTCATAATGCCAATGTAGAAGTCAAATGAATGAAATATGTCATTTGGAACTTTATGAGATTCCCCTTTTTGATGCCCCGACCTTTGCTTTGCGCTACGCTCTAGCAGAACGACGAGCTTACATCAGTGATGCCGCGACCGAGAGTGCATAACCTAATGATGCGGATGATGCATGAGTCAGAGCCATGCGACACTGATGGTGGCAAATCACAGTCGCAGCGACAACAGCAGACTTCCACACTGTCCAGGATCCATTCAGACACCGATCCATTCGATAATTACTCATGTGAGTTTGGTGAGCTATCCAAAAATCATGCCTGTATATCGCTGCTAGTTAAGGACAGTGTCTCTAAACGGTTGAACAGATTAATTGTAAGATGGCGAAGGCCAGTTGGAAATCGAATTTTAGATGGTAATACATGCCCAAAGTCTGCAGCAAGAAGTGTTTTTGTATCCAGTGTTGCTATAATGCCCTTTTAGCTAAAATGTAAAGCTGTTTAAGCACTGGATATGACCCCCTAAACGGGTACTTCTCGATAATTTATCTAAAGTACTCAAAAGTTAGTTTTGGCAATCCCAGACTGGATGAAATATTAGCTTAATGTAAAAGTTTTCCTGATCTGATCTCAGACACAACCGATGCTTGTCTTTGATAAAGCAAAATAAAGCAAATAACCCTTAAACCAGGCCTTTCTTCGCATTCTTCGCACTGGTATGTTACGCTGAAGTGTCAGAGATGTGGACAGAGGAACATAAGAATTACCAAATGCCTTGCTGCATTACTCAATGACGAGTCTACGGTACTATGACAAAACGCATGTGAATGAGTCCCTACAGGCGTGACTCGTTCAGAAATATTCAACCAACAGGCTAGCTGCTACACTGCCGTAAAGCTACTGCAGAATGACTCCTTGTTTTAGCAAAGACAATTACTTTTGACACACTACGAACAGTGCCTTTCCACACACAGATGTGCCTGACGCATACATGCATATGCGTAATTGGATCCCGAAGTTCTTCAATGCCGCACTATAAACTGGCACACGTAGTTCCTTCTCGCTATTTGTGAATTATTGAAGCAATGAGCGCACAAGACTTAGATTGCTTTGTCTTCATTAAAATAGGTATGAAGTGCGTGATTTCATAGGTAAAACATATAAAACTAACATGTGAGAAGATACGCACATGCTCCAAATCAGTATGCGAATGAGGCTGCACCGCTAATGTGTGATCAAATTTGCAATTACTCTATTTTAATGTTTCGTTTAAAAACGCAGCTTAATTCGGCTTATCATTTTGGATCCCACTCGAATCCGTTCTGCGTAGTTCATTTCTGTAAATGGACCTTCGGTGGGGAAGAGATATGCATACGTGTATTGCGAATGTATTGCTCCCCTTTTCTTCTACATCTCCCACATCCTTTTTAAGTAGTACAACAATTGAGTAATTTATGTAGGAACATATGTTACTTTTACTTGACAGAAAAACGGCAACAATAGCTCCTCATCTTCTCTCTCCTTGTTCAATCGACTAGATGAGGAAAGGAGGTAAAGAAGCGTAGTTTACTAAATTTTGTTGATAGCTCATCCTTTAATTCAGGCCAGTATAGCTCATGCAACCTGATGCGTTAGGGCACGGAATTTATCTACTGCATGGTGGACAAATTAGGCCATTGCTTGGTTCAGGTCAATTTTTTCTGTATTTCAAGGAAGATTCCTGTCGGAGGGCCATGGGATCGACCATAGGAGTTCGCATCCATACTCCTTGGTCGTTATTGTTAATTTATAATGCATGCATGCAGTCTTAAGGAAGTTCCATCTTAAACTTTTTGCATGAAGCTGCATGTGCCAAAGAGGAGGCAACGATTTTTGCTGAAACCAAAGTCCAATCTACCTGTGACAGTTTTACAGTTTTCGATGTTTTATAAGCAGCCTTAATAGTACTATTGAGCTATTTTGCTGCACGTTGATACGCAGGAGAATAGCAAAAGCACTAATTACTCATATTATAGCACAAAATGTGCATGGTCTTTTTGAACTCATCTCTCAGAAACCTTCTGAAACTGGGTTAGTCAACATTTGGAGTCGAGTCTTGTAGCAAAATGTGTGTTTATTAGAAAAAAACTAAGGGAATGGTTTTGGTGTTCTATTCGGAAAATTATAAGCCATGTTTAGAAATTCAATAATTATTGGAAGTCTACAAGAAGAGTGGCTAAAAGCTTCTCTCGATGGGAAACAAAGTTTAAGTTAATCTTGAAGTTAAAAAAATACCCAAGATTTGTAATCCTAAGATCAGCATCGAAAGTAAGGCGCAGTGATGAGGCTTGCTCCACCGTTTCTCATCAAGTTCCGTGCAAACATTTTTGGTGCGTTGTTTCTATAATGTACTGAATATGAAAGTAGATTTGTTGAGAGTATGTTGAAGTAAAACGCTGCAAAACCACCTGAGAATTGTCTAATTCATATTATTAGCCCTAGGGATCGGTGCGACCTCCACCGTAAGCTTACCGATAAGAGTCTGACAGAAATCTAACCAACATTGCCATCTCTTTATTGGCATGAGAAACACGATTGCTCCTTTACACTCCAGTCATGACGAAACCAGTAGGAAACCAGTAGCAGAGCGATATGAAAGTCACTATCAAGTAAAACATTAGAAATGACCTTAACCTCTCCTTACCAAGGTGTTTATAGGATTCGCACCATAGTGGATTTGCAATGTTTCATACATTTAGGTTTGAATAAAATACGATAAGATTTCACGAATAATTTTCTCGTGAATTCATTTCTGTATGAAGCATAAGAGGAATTATTTCCATATTTTGCCTATTCACCTACTAGGCATGGGAAAATTTCCTCCAAAATATGTGAGGCGACAACTCTGGACTGTGCAGACAGGTGGCACCTCCTCCTCAGCCTCGTCCTCCAGCAGCGTGGGCAATCCATGCATCCCCTACAACAAAGGCAGTAGCAACGCCGCTAGTGGCGTGCGAGGCACTCGTAATCCAGTCTCTGGGCATGGAAACGTCGCCAGCTCCAATACCGCAGGCAATCCCCAGACTCTCGCAGTAAGGATAGAGGTGGGACAGGCACGATCGATGATCCTCATGGTGCTAGAAGAGCTGGTAAATACAGAGAGTTCTTACCTCCACATTCTCTCCCAATTCCTCGTCCTTCGAGATGAAATCTTCGCACCAAATTGGCGAATTGATAGGCAGAAGTTCATGTACGTACTGCAATTTCTTCTCTTTAAAAACTGCCTACTGAATGGTCAAGCAATTCTAGGACAGCTCCTCAAGCAGGAGTATTCGGTAAACTTAGCTATGGGCTTAGATAATCCGATTTTACTTACAATTTTCCATTTTTCCTGAACATTATAAAAAGTAAACTACCAAAGCGCTTTTACCGATGTTTAGTTCATTGACCAGTTCAAGAAGCTAGAGAATCCTACACATTCTGCTTTTGCGAAATCTAACTTGAGTTAACTCTATTTAGACGACTCTTTCCTGCGGCAGTGGATGATCTCTGTAATCTTCATCGTGAGTCTTTTGATGCCATGAAACTCGCTTTTGAACGCACGACCAAAGGGGTTCGTCACTCTGAGGACACCTGGAGTGAGGATCTTCTCCTCTCTCCCTACTTTCAGCCCCATCAATATCCACGTTGCAAACAAGGCATTTTCAGTGGAGGCGATAATGAGGTCACTGATGATATTGGCTGTTTCTACACAACTCCATTTAGCGTTCTCCTGGAAATGATTGAAGGGAAGCGGCCTCTCTCCTGCTACTCACACTCTCGCTCCGCCTCCTCCACAGCTACTGCTGCCGCCACCCTCTACTATCGCAGCGCACCGCTCTGGTCGACTGCGCCCTTCTTCAAACTCTACGCGCGGTACCTTTCTGAGTTCTCCGGTGCCATACAAATGCTTAACAAGATGCGTGCCGGTCCTACCAGTCTACGTAAACACCTCAAGCAGTTACAATCCCATCCTGCCTGCGAGTTTAATGACATCACAACTTACCTCTTGGCTCCCGTTCAACGTCTCCCTCGATACCTTCTGTTGGTCAGGAAGATGATCCAATACACGGAGAAGATTGAGCGGCTACAGAATATTCCTCCCATCATACGTCCACGTCCACGCGTAGGCCTTCGGCGCTCTGCGACTCCAGCACAAGCAATAGCATCAACACCGGGGTTCCCAAGGCTAGAATCGCTGAAGAGGGCGGAGGAGGCACTGCATGGGATGTTGTTAGAATTGGATGAGATGATCGGTGGTGATGTGATTGACCTCAAAGTGGAGACACGTGACACAACCTCTGGTGGTGGAGAGGAGGAGTATGATTTTGGGACTGGTGGTGGTAGTGGTGGAAGTAGTGGGTTCAACAAGGCCAATTCTGTGTACTCCAATAACTGCTCAGATAGTGTTGACGTCAACAGCACCACCACAGCCTTCGATCTCGTCTCTACTGGAGATGGAGCGGATATCAAACATCGGTGAGCAAATAATAATCTGGGTAGCTGACTAACTAACTAGTAAGGAATGACTCTTTTCATTCTTCAATTTAATTTTAAAGGCGAGCACAGTCGGTAGTGAATCCAAGCAGAAGAAAAATGAGATCCAGTAGTGCTGGCTTCGGTGGTTGCGGCGGTGGTGGCGGAGGAGGAGGCTTCTGGAGTCGTTTGAGGCGGCTACGACTGACCTTCACCTCTATTCAACAAAAGAAAACCGCAGCCAAGGCGAATGCTAATAGAGCTGAAGTGTGCGGCTCCGAAAACATTGTTCCTCCTAAATTTACATCAGATTCTGGTGCAGAGATTCTCCGAAAGCATTTCGTGAGGTCTTTTAAATCTCAGGATGCTTTGAAGAGACCGAAATCGCTTCATAGGACGACAAGCAGTTTGGAGAGAAGTAGTCTTGCAAGTACGCCACATAAATTTCAAATTTTATTGCTACACAAATTGTATTTAAGCCTAGGCTTATTCTGGCGTTGACTTGTGAAGCTAACAGGCTAAGGTTTTTTAACTTAAGAATGTATCAATTTTTTTTATTCGGGTCAGACGATTTTGCATTCCATAGGCACATGAATATATGGTTAAGACTTGCTAAAATCAATCGCTTACTACTTCGTGTAGAAGTAGAGACTTGGCGCAGAGCATCCTCAGCACGACCGCACAATCGAACGGTATCGGGCAGACCGATATCTACGTATAACCCACAAAGGTCAACTCAGAAAACGAAACGACATGTCGACAAATTTGACGAGGTATTGGAGTTCGTAAAGGTTTACGTGTTTCCTGATATACCTTATTTATCAATATTTTCCTCAAAATCTCATTTCAAAAATATTCTAATACATCCAGAAACTATTCTCCACTACAATTTAGCGTAAAGTAAATCGGAAAGATCCTCCTACACGGAGGACTCCACAAGCTCCAAGGACTAAGGAGGCTATTATGCCGATGCCATCCACCTTTTTGCATGGCGGGGGCCGGTCTAGCACCCAATCCGCGAAGTCCGGGATGCCTGGCGGCAGGTAAGCACATTTAAAAACCGTGGTCCAAGCTTCTCCATGATTCAAATTTGTTGCCATCCCAGAATTGGCACTGGTTATGTAGTTCTATACTCAGAGAATAAAAATGTAAACTATTGCTACCATATAATTCAGCAGTGAAATCAATTGTAGAACTTTCTGACTTCAATGGATTAAGAGGAGTTTATTAGGACGACTAAGTAATTTTTGACTCCATTCGTTTTTATTGGTATCTCCTGAAGATGCGCGTGCAAAACAAAAAGGAGGTTATAGCATCACTTGGAGTTGGTGAAGGGTCTTCTTGGGGGCGAGAGAATTTTCGTGTGTCCAACTTGTCATCACTTTTGTGGTCAGGAGGTACTGCATGCTTTATTTTGCGTTTCGTGTGTTGAAGCACATGATAATGCTTTTTACTTGCACTAAAGGCAGCGAAATTAAGCAAAATTTGTTCGAGAATTTTTTTCGGATATTTCTTGGTTACGAAATTCCCTAATTCATTGTAAAGTCTGTTATAATGAGAATCCACTGTAATTCCATTTGGCACGGTGGAGATGGGCTTGATTTCAAGCATATGAGATGTGACGCAGACTTCTCCGAATTCTTTGGCCCGTTTAGCTGTCATGAGCTACTTGATCTCACAATAGATGATAAAGTGGAACATGTTGAACATTAGGTCCACCAATTCGAATGGAATAAATTAAGTTATTTTGTGTATAAGTGTGCACTGAATGGGGCGAAATCGCTCCGGCCACTTGTTTTTTTACCTTTGCATGTATATGCATAGATAACACCGATCCATCTACCAGAGATGTGTACAGCTCCAGTGAACTTTCGTTTCCAGACTTTGGGCGTATTAGAGTTCACTGTAACATTGGAAAATGGAATCCCCACAGGTAAAATATGTATTTCATTTATGCGTGTAGCTACTACCTTCGTTCACTTGGTCATCTAAATTCACAAAATGTTATGTGCTCCAAGCCGTGCTCGAAGTCGCAGAATCAAAAGCTCGTACTTTAAAGCCTTTACTTTCTGTGGTCTTCTATATGGGATGGTAGCGCGTCGGGAGCAAACATAATCTCTCTACGTCCTCATTCACGCATGCTCAGCCCATGGCAATGTTCAACGTTTCTGGGATTCTATTAATGGCAACTGTTGAATGGTAGGGCATGAATTCCATTTCACAACCTCAACTACCGATACAGTGTTTTCATCGTGGCAGAATCGAAAAGGAAATGTTGGAATCGACACATGTTTCTAAAGAATATCGACAGAGTTACATTTAAGGAGGTTAAGTGAAACAAGGGACTTTCAAGGTTCCCATCAAACTTTATGATCGATTTTTAGAGTGCTGTCGAGTAGTTTAGTCGTGGGTAATTAGCTTCTCCAGTGGCAACATCTACTTATTTAAAAAGGGGGGAGGAATGCATTTAGTCAAGCCTGCTAGGGGCCACAGCGTATCACTTAATGAAAGTCAGTCCCTCCAACGTTGTACCGGTGTTAGATTTGAACGATTTGAGCGGCCACCCAAAAATCATTAACAAGTAACTGTCTAGGATTTTCCAGCAATACGGGAAAGGCGTGTTACCCAACTCAAGTGATTACATGTAGCAAGCCTGATGCCTTACCAATATTAAGAGTGCTTTGCTCCAGTAATGTGTTCTCTGTTTTGCGTGCTTTCATTTTCCTAAAGTAGCAAGCTCTGGATTTTGCGCTACAATACTGCGACTATTCCTATGGTTTGATAGATTGTATGAAAAGGTCTGTTAATGTCGCATGAGGGATGTCTTGTTCTTTCACAAGAAGCAGTTTGGTAGTAAGGTTTGTTCCCTTTGATTTTCTAAAATATCGACTTATAGCAGAGATCTTCACTTTGTGGTCTACCAAAAAGGCGGTGGTGCTTAATCAGTACTAGTTCCTGCGGCACAACATCTCCCCTATTCAGTAACTATGGTGGTATCCACTTCTTCTCTGAATTGTAGACATACAAATAAATCTGATTATCGCAGATCAGCAGGCAACACTCCCATTGGTACCATAATGAGCACAGTGAAGCTCAGTATCGCTAAATCAGATAGCGACAGCGGAGTTCACACCCAAACAGAAGAGGAGCAACGACGTCGCCGACATCAGTCCTCCCGTCAAGTACCACTTTGTCGTGAGCAGCCTGTCTTTAGCACCGGGCGATCACGGTGGGTCGGACGTCCTGGTCACACACCTTTTGCTACCACGATTTCAACCCAACAATCTCACCACATGCGACAACAGGGAGTGCTGGGACATCAGAGTTCCACAAAAGTTCGGCGAAGCAGCGACAATGGTTATAGAAGAGAAGTAGAGGATAAGGATGGGAATGCCAGCCGCTCTGTCTCTCCCACGATCTCATCTACTTCCTCAATTACTTCCTCTGCTTCCTCCACAACTGCTGCTGAGTCGGCCTCTGCCCTCGCTCCCACTGCGTCCACCAGCTACTCCTTATCCAATGTGGACTCCCATCTTCAGCCAACACGACCGGTAGTGGGAGTGATCTCGGAGGCAATGAAAAAAATTGGAGCATTTACTCCCCCCCCCTCACCACCGAGTGTCACGTTGGAGGCAATGGTGCAGGAGGAAAATCGGACCAAAGTGGAAGTCCAGTGAGTGTGATTTGATGTGAGATTTACCCATCAGGGAGAAGTATTTCTGCACTGTTAAAAAGAAACTGCCGGATATAAGTACTTCCACTACGGGTAAATCGAACTTCTGACCTAACACGAGATTAGGAGCGGCCAACAGGATTCGTAGGAGTTGCAACTCACCTCTGTACCTAGTTGATTTCTAATGACGTTTGGTAATGACTCAAACATACATTTCAAGCAATGACAACAAGTGATACGATGTCGATTTCTAAGACCAAAGTATTTAAAATGGTGTCGAGTACGTGCAAGAGTGGGTATTCGACGTATGTAGTGGTTGAGTTTCAAGAGAATCATTTAATTTATTTGTCCTTAAACTGCGAAAAAGAATCAGTTCCCGCCTAAAAACGATAAGGGCATGCTTCTTTCACATCGTTGCACAAAGGATGAGCCAAGAGAACTCAGAGAGCTCAGATGGTGTAGAAGTGGAGGACGATGATGAGACGGCAGTTGCGGACTTGGACGAGACTCCTAACGCATTGGATGATGCCAGAGCAGTAGAGGTGGATCTGTGCGGTCACAACACACAGCATTCCAAGTCCGATCACGAAGACATTGCTTTCGACGCATGCACCTCTTTTGGCTCCACCATCGCCAATGTCGCCATCGTTTCCGCCCCTGCAAATAGCCCTTTGGATAGCCTTATCGACCTTGATGCCGACCACATAGTCGAAGGTTCAACATTATGCGCCCCTGAAGTGGTACCTCTCGTGGGACGCCTGTGCTTGGAGGATTTCAAGGAGTAGCAGCTGCCTGCTCAGAGTGGTGCTGCGCTTTTCGTAACATCTTGAAATACACACACCATTAAACCGACCTCGTCCCCTTCTTTCCCTTTTCGTGGTTTGGGCGATTGCTCAAGATTCAAAATTGACGACTTAAATCGGCTCCAACCCACAAGATCTGTAAATTATCTAGTTCCATACCTTTCCATAAAAATGGAAGAAGATCTTGAGCGAAGTCGCAGGGTTTTGCTTTTGAGAAGCTCAGATTCGACTACTGTGATACTGAAATTATAAATGGCGGTAGTAGTAAGAACATGTTTCAAACGGTAAATACTAGACCTGGAGACATAAATTTAAAATGTGCGACATCCCGTTTAGGGAAAGAATCCGTATTTACCCAACTGCATTAACACAAACAAAGCTCCTCGAACGAAGCAAAGAGAAGACTAAATCCGAAGAAACTACACCAATGAGAAAAACAAATATGAAGATCCCGAAAATTCCAGCTCACATTTAACCATGTATCTCAATGATTCCGCAGAAACAAAAGCTTTGAAGAAGTCGTTAAGATTCACATACATTGTTTTGCAATTTTCTGAAGAGTGAGAAAAGTAGACCACTCTCGTTTTGACCGCCTTATAGTCAACCGAGTTTCAATAAAATTGAGGAGCGGGATAAGCTCCGATGAGTGAAGTCCGTGGTCCCAGAGGTTAACCGATACTCCACTGTAACACCTCGAACATGTAATAGTGACTCTGTCTTGTGATAATCAGCTGCATTCACCTGAACAGCAACTTCCACCTACGCGCTCAAGTGAGATCTAACTTGGACGGTTGGAATCGAATCATCCCAAGAGGTAAGTAAGCTAGAGTACTTGAACATTTATGGAATGACTTGTTCTCAACCGAATTCGTTCCATATGCCAAATGTTCTTAATAGTATTCAATCACTCAACAAGGAAACCCATAATTCCACCAAAACAATCGTTTTGGTATTTTCGATAAAGCTGGACACATCAGACGCAGGATCGCAGATATTTACTCAAAGGATACCGTTACAGAGTCTTCATAAAGTGAGACGATTTCCGATGCCACCTCCGTGTACTTGCGCTGCCAAGCTGTCCGAAAGACAGGGGAATAAGAACAGATGTTGCGACAACCTGCAAGAAAAGGTGAAGCAATGTAAGCAAACAAGAGCAATTCCTTCTTACTGACGTAATGAGAAACTGACAGTGAGCTTAACGCAAAACTGTGAACGAGAGAAGTTAACCCCGAGTCAGAAGTTAACAGTGCAGAAATCTTGCAGAAGACAGTCGAATGAATTCGTGGAACCTCTTTACGATGAAAATTATGCTTGGTGTGGTAAGCACCACGACATCACCATTTCCATAATTTGTTAAGTGATCTAGGAGACTGGTATGAAAAGCAGGAAAGTAACTCCCTACAATCTCCTATTCGAGAACGATGGGACTTATAAATTGACCGAAGCAACGCTGATAGGGAATTGGAAATTTCAACCACGTAAACCAGTACCATGATACTGGAGCGCCAAAAACTAGTCTAAAAAAACTTTAAACCTCGACACAGGTCTCTCACAGGATTCCAAAACATTTCGAAGCTTAAAAGGGGCGCTGAATGTCACTGGCGTCGTGGAAGCAAGCACACAATTTTCAAAAACTTCAAATACGAGCTTTCCACTTTTCAGAATAAAAACAAAAAAGCAACCAACAGTGTAGAACAGCTTCTGCAGAGCTACGCAGCGTGCACGATGTGTAGAAGCCACGTAGAGCACGATCCTGGTAGTGGAAAAAATTCCAATCTAAAAGGAAAGATGGTTCCAGCTTTGCTAGTCGACGGAGAACTGTTAGCGCCGCTTCTGATATCCACTTCGACACATATGCCTCCTCCTCTCCTGGCACAGCAGGGACGACTCAAAGCAAAGAAACAAGTGGATCAGAAAGAATTGCGGAAATGACAAGAATCTACCTGCTCAAGATAAGTCTTTCAACAAGCTCAAAATCTGGAAGAAACAGCGTGGGTGCCTGCAACTTAAACAAAACAAAACCAGCTGCAATTGGAGGTCTCAGTTAAAAATAAGCTGGGTACTAAAACAGGGTTTACGTGGCAGAAGTAAAAGGGCTTGGTTATCAATACCATAACTTCGAAAGTACCGATCTTATGGTGGGCAGACTGGAGTGAATTTGTTAAGAAACAATAGGTCCACCCAAAATCTGGATTACAACTTCTTGATCTAGAAATGCATCACCGCCGCTTAGCGGCATTTTTGACTAGTTACGACAAACATGATACGGGGGCATTTCTTACCAGGATCAAAGAGCCGGGACGGTCTAAGCCGGAGAGTAAATTCAACCAGCCATACATTGACGATAAGAATGCGAAGTATAACCATGACATCGCAAAAGGCCTCCGCTAACCGAGTCTGCGCCGAAACTTTGCATTTATCACAGAGCTGTCCATCAACCTCAGTTTTGAATCCGTCTAGAATCGCAGATCCTGCGGCTGCAAGGCCGAGAATGGAAGTGAGCCTACCGATGGCGTTGATGGAAGCATCACCCTCTTTTGACTCATTTATGCCACAACCCATTTGTGAGATTTCCAGGAGGTTGCAAATGTCCCGAAGGTAGCTAATTCCAATGGGGCTCTATAGCAAAGAAAGTAGATGAAACTGGACGTGGAAAACGGTTATTCAGTGGAAAAAGAGGCTAACCTCTTCTATGTCAGGTCATCACTGTTTTTGTAGATTTCTCAAGTCGAACTGAGCATTAATCTCGCCCACGGGGTAAGGAACCTGTGGGTCTTTTCCACTAGACGCTCAAACGCACAAACACGCTTAAAGAGCAGAGAGGCGATGGGACTCTCAGCTACAATAACCCTTTTGCATAAACACTTGTCTGTCGATGGAGAGTTAAGTTGCCCACAGGTTCACCAGTCGTTTCTGTTAACACTTACCCAGTGCATGTAAATAAGTGGTGCAGGCGACGAATCCCAACACGGTAATGGTAAATAAAGCAACCATATTGGGAAAAATATGATCTTAGAAAACCAGAATACGTAGGATAAGGCAACTTTACCATTTGGAACATTCGTAGAATAGCTGAGTACCTTAAAAATCACCGCGTCATCAGCATGATGGTTGGCCAGCAAGGATAGCATAAAGCCGGTATCGAAACTGCTCACAACAACCGCAGGAAAGAGTCTTGCCAAACGGAGGATGTGTTTACGACAGAGAGTCACTGATTTTGGCGTTTTATCAAGATTAGTCAGACGAAACACCTCTGGTCTGAAGGAAAGAAGCACAAAAACACGGCTCATACTAATAATCCCTTGCTCTGGAATTTAAATACTAAGTGAACGAGAAGGCGACCAAACGATGCCTCGACCACATCAGGAGAGTTTTTTGAAAGGGCTAATTTTATCCTGGCAGAGTCTTCATCCCCTTTAAATAATTAGGTACTCCTAGTAGAAGGATGATGTAACCAAACGAATTTGTATGACTTCCTCATTCTTCATTTAATAAATGATGCAACAGATAGTTTTCACAGTTTGAAGCACATCCCAATATAACCCAAGGGAAGCCGATGAAGTTCCATTTGCGTAACAAACGTTTCAGCTATTCTCTATCCCGTTGCCCCATTGGGATTGATGAGAGGTTGGAACATGGCATACGACAAAATTTTGCCAAATTTTTCGCACTCAAGGGCAGCAAAGAGATTGTAATCTCCAGATAGATGTTTTCAGAACAACGAGAGGAAAACAAGCACAAAAAGAAAACCAGATATTGCTAAGCTTGATCAACACGCCGGGTCTTCATCCACCTTCTCTAATCAATGAGCCTGAATGGGGGGAGAAGCGTTTCGCATCATTCACTTATATCAACAAATGTGAGATTCAGTGAAGCCACACTAACTGCCACATCCAACCAAAAATGAATCCATGATTTTCATTTTTTTAACAACAAAACAGATCCCTAGTCACAGAGAAAACTACAATGATGTTTTAAGTATGAGTGTCCATTCCTCTTTGGAACCGTATTATCGTACGTTTCAGCGAGCCTTTGCCAACGTTAACCAAAGCTGCCAATCCGACTCACATGATACTTCGTAACAGGGGTTGCAGAGGAGCCCAAACGTTCGTTTGAAAGCTTTTCGCCAACTCATCATACGCTTTCGAGGGGGATGAATAAGTTGGCTGGAAACAGGTCTCATCGAAAGCCGCGGCGCATTCACTTGTACCGCCGACAGCCAAAAAGCGGTTTTTGTAAACATGCAGGCTCCACTGTAGATAAACGGCAAGAACGTCCAAGATGAGTGGATTTGGGTAGGCGATTTTGGACGAAGTGGAATCCGACGTAGTATCGGTGAGCGCTGAGTTGCACTCTAAGGTCAAGGATGTGGCCATCAATTCTCCCAATCCAATGAGTCGCTTCAACATGGAGGATAGCATTTCATCAGAAACGAAGGCCATGATGCTGTTATCTGCCTAAATAAAATACAAAGCTTACAAGCTTGTCTTCTAACGCATTGATGTCAAAATCAATCTAGGAGCGGCTCAGAAAAGGAACTTACAGTGTTTTCTGATTCAAGATCAGATTCAGCAATCTCAGCAATCAGTAACGACAACAACTCTAAGCAGACTTGTGTCACATTGGCATCGGTCGACTTTATCTAGAACATCCACGAGGAAGAGAAGCTAAGATCCCGTTGTTTACCAAAAGCAAAGGATAAATAGAAATAAGGTATGCATTGCACACCTCTAAATATCCTTCTAGATGAGTCGGCAATCCGAGTTTCAGTTCAACTTCAATTGTGATGAGGAAAAGCGAAAAAGGAAGACCGTCTGTAGACTCTAGTGTGAACTGAGACAACCAGGAAAATGAGCCGCCAGAACATTTGCACAGTGCAAGAAGGAAACGAAGCGCTGATTCCAAATACTCCGATGAAAGGCGAGCCGCTGTTAAAATAAAGCCAAAATATTGGAAGAAAATTTAGGAACGTACCTCTACTTTGCAGAAATTCTACGACGGCACGAATATAAGCATGAATGTCATGAAGTTCATTAACCCTGCTTGGGCACTGAATTTGCAGAACAGAGGCAAGTATGTTAAATACTATCACGATCTGCGGACAAGAGGCGACTCCATGGTTTTGACCGGTATCTACAGCACGCATGATCTCACGTGCTGAAGCGCTAAGATGCCTGTATATCTTCTGGATAAGGATCTCTTTTTCCATACATGACAACTTTTCGATACACGGAAGAATGGATGAAACAAGCTTAAGCCTTTCCGAAGATGCTATTAAAAGATAGGACCAATTCTTTACTAAACCTGTCATACCACCCCCTAGAATTGCATCGACAAGTATCAAAAGTTCTTCAGAAGAAATTGCGTCTTTAACGGAGGTTAGAGAATGATTTAGGGAAGAAAACTCAAATTCGTCCATCGGTCTAAATATCGAGCATAAACAGAACGTCAGCAAACTACCTATTTTTTGAGCCTTTTAGACGAGAAATCAGGTCATCGCATATTTTCTTAATGCACGGTTGAACACAGTTTGTGTGCGCCACCAAATTCCTTGGTTCACTTGTCATGTCTGAAATAGGGTGGAAATATCGTCGACAAAGAGGCAGAGGGAGCAGTAGTAGTGAAAAGTGCCAAAATGTGGTTGCATAATCGATTCCATGAGTGCCATTGAAAAAATACAGAATGTCCTAAAGCCGACAAAATGACAAACCGGTGTAGGTTACAAAATGACCTTCAGCCACTAGCGGAGGAGGACTCAGCCACAATTTAAATAGCATAAAAATAAGGTCGTTTCCACTGGAGGTAGAATGTGCAACACAGATGATACAATAAGAAATTAAGAATAAACGTCCCATGCGCAAATTGAGGAACCCCGCCCACCAAAACAAATGTGATTCTTAGCGTGACCTTCGGACGTGCTATCCGAATAAAGTCACTAGAGTGGTCATATCAACTTAGTAGGGTGAAATGAATTTTGAGCATGTCGGAAACCTATATTTTGTCGGCACAACTAAAAGTACTCGCATTACGTTTAAGTGTTCCTCGTCCTTTGACCACTTATGAAGGTCTTATGATGTAAGTGCAGTTATAGGCACGAAAATGGAAGTTTTTTAATTACGCCTAAAGATTATGGAAATCTGTTTGAGCTAGTTTACGAATTCACGGGTTTACAAGACCCAATATTCTTGATGATGCCTTAACAAATGTGTAGGACCTGCCTGCCTACCCTCAGACCCCTGAAGCTAAAACTTCAGGAGAGAGTTTGTTTAATGAAAGGAAATGAGGGAAGAGAAATGATGAGACGGAAAGTCAATGTCATCCTAAGAACGTCTCTTCACGATACTCACGAACTTGATTCGCAATTAAATCGTTTTCCCACCTCTCCCCATAGAGGCCAACTTACACACGCTTATTTTAAATTTTTGCTCACCATGTAGTGCTCTGTGACTTTGCGTTAGTTAACTAAGACAATAAGCTGAGCTGATTAGAGGTATTCTAGAATAAGCGGAAAATGGACTTTAGCATGGCTCGAAGGCCAGCCCAAGCTAATAAGGTAAAGCGAATGACAAAATCACTGTAATATATGCTAGTTTGTATAAGTGGACTTTTATAGGAGAGGGCGGGAACCAATTGGGAACGCGAGTTACGTGCGCGAGGACGGTGAGGAGTCTCTCCCTAAGTGATATCTCCTATTCATCCCATCTGCAGCCCAATCCCCATTCTTCCTATAACAAACACCAAATAAATAATCTGCAATCAACTCTCTCTTGAGGTCCGGTATTCAAGGGCAGGAGGGTAGGTAGACAGCTCTTACAGTCACCGCCAGTCATCATGTATTCGTATAGACAAAATGTGTAATCATGAATTCAAATGTCTGGTCGTAAGTCTAGGAATAATGTGTACTATTTGGTTCATGCGACCACTTGTATGGCTGGCGGTGACTTTTGATGTTTTCTTGTTTCTGTGCATGTGGGCTAGCCTTTAACTTAAGCAAAACACATTTCTCTCTTCCTTTTTGATTTTATGTATTTTAGCTCTACTTAGGCCCCATTCTTTCTAAGGGAAAGTCTTGGCCCAAATACGTGGTTGTGTGACCACCTGATGACGTTAAAACATTGGTTTGTACGTAAGGAGATCCGAATAAGTAGAAATTCGGTGAAAGCTTCCAGATTTTTACTGTAGTACTACTTCAGATGTAAATGGAACACGGAGATGTGGTGAAGCCAAATGCAGATATCATTCCTAACCCTTCTGTTGTAAAAGATATAGGGAGTCTCCTGCCTAGTGTGTAAGCACTTCCGCTGCACTGTGGACGTACCACGACGGTGGACAGTAGTATGGAAGTTGTTAAAAGAAGTCGTTCTCGCATTTTGTTACCACCATTGTGGCTCTTTAGAACTTTCCATCACTTAATACAAGGCATTAATTTGGGCTGAATACACGTTTTCTGGGAGGGGGGGGG